TTGTAGTTGGGATTAACAGGATTCAAGCTAATATATTCTGAGTAGCAGCAATTCCACCTATTATTCTAGCAGCAAGGTGTTTTGGGACTGTTTGGCCTCGAGACGGGACTTGTGTGTACGGTTTTGCTGTTTTTCATGGCTTTGTAGAATTGACTACAGTAAGAATTACAATTTCGTCCAAAGCAGTAAATTTGCAGAATGACTAGAGTAGAGGTTACAATTTCATCCAAAGCAGAAACTACACAGGAATTTTCAAGACACGGAAATGACCCAGGAAGTCCTGATAATTCTGTGGTTGCCTTTGATGAATCCACAGAAGCATATAATGATTTGAACCAACCCAGGAATTTTCTTTGTACTTTCAGAAAAAAAAAACTTTGGCCAGTTACTCCTATGTTGCACGGGAAAGTCAATTAAACTGCACTAGCCTTGTTTATCGAGTACATGATAAAGCTTTTTGTTATGCCAGAGGAATATCATCTGTTGCTTGACATAGAAGCTGTAACCCGAGGGAAAAAGATGATAATGTGACAAGTGACTTTCCTTCTGGGAAGAGCGAATTATTTTTGGCTGCAGTCCCATACATGCTTACATAGGGTAAGCCTCACTATATTTAATGGGATTTAACCTCAGAAGGTATGTACAAAATCACAAGGTAGATGAATTTACCATCTCCCTAACTACTCATAGCTACTAATTATGATTTAAATAGCAATTAAAATGAGTAGCAAAGAAAGTACAATTGAATGCACAATCAGATTATTAGTAATGCTTAAAAAGGAAGATTATCATGACAAATTCCTGGGATTTTTTTTTCAAATATCAAGTTTCTGAAAGAAAATCATTAGCGGCCTTGCAAATTAAAATGGTTATATTTGCATCCATGGCACATGTAATTTTTTTACAAGCTTGGGTTGAAAGATCCGCCCTGAGTCCCCTTGGGGAGAGAGGGTGGAATATTAATAAATTACTACTACTACTACTACAACATTATAAACATTCAACTTCCGGTACTGCTAATCATATGTTCCTAAATTATTTTTTAAAAATTCTAACAAAGGAACCGACAGTCACACTTTTCCTCACCCAACTAGGCACTGCTCACCATTTCAGCAATATGTAAATCATTTCTAAATATACAGCCATGATGCTTGCTATCCAATGTGGGCTTCAACCCCAGGCAGGGTCTCAAATAAGCTCTACTGTGTTGCATTAAATATATTGGTTGATACATGTAAGTATTGCATTAGGACAAGCACTTTTTATAGAGACAGAAGAATTTTAAACGATGCAGCCCAATAATGAGCTGAGTTGGTCTAAAGGCATTTTAAATTCTATATTTTATGGGGCAGCAGAGAGAATGTAAGATTATTGACTTCTGACATTATTAAATACTAAATGACTCTTTCATTTCTGAAATTCTCCAATTATTGTGTATGTGTAATGTATGGTGTAGATCAGGGCTTCTTCAACTGTGGGTCCCAACCCCAAATAGGGTCACCTTAGCTCAATATTAGGGTTCTGAAAAAATTAACAACAGTTAAAGTTCTCTGAACTTCAGACACTGTTTCAGACACTTACACAAATCTGTTGTGCAGAATTTACAGCGGACTCCATAGAAGATACTTCAGCTGTACTTCATAAAAAGCCTTGCAAATGCTGAGGGTTTTCTAAAATTTCTCCGACTGAAAGGGGTCACGAGTGGAAAAGTCTAAGATGCCCTGGTATAGATAATATAGTTTTGCAAAGAGATTTGTTATTGAAAGTTATCTGAAGGAAACAATTTCTTTAACAAACCTAGTAGCAATTATATTATAAAGCCAGTTGAACGAAAATACCGTACAACTCCTCTATATATGTGATTTCACTAATCCTGCTTTCATTTAGCCCCCTACTCCTTCAAAGCCTACTGTACAAGCTACAGTCTTTTCTCACTACCTCCAATCATCTGCCCCACTGAAAATAATAGGATTTGCTATTATCTTCAGTTTCACATAACCATATGAAGTTCAGGAACGTATCTCTACAAGATATGCTGGCCGTACTGTAACTCATTCCGAAGGAGGAACTGTACACTTTTCACTTGGAGAAAAATCTGTCAAAATATTAGAACTCATTAAGAACTGTCTTGATCAACCAATACTAGTCACCAGTGATCATCAATCACTTAAAACTAGGCTTTAAAATCATCACCAGCAGCTTGAACTTTGTCAAGAAACCAAGTAGGAACCAATGACATTGTTTCATTGTTTGAAAATTAGCATCAAGTGTTCTCTATCATCACCCCACAATCTGAACCATTTATTGTTTCAGAGTAATCTAATTGGACTGTTATAAAGACATGGAGCTATTCACTTAAACAGCAACAGGCAAGTTGCACTCTCTCTCAGCCTCAGAGGAGAGCAACTGCAAACCTCTTCTGAACGAATCTTGCAAAAAAAAACCCCTCTTAACACAAGTTTGCCTTAGCATTATCATACGTCAGAAAGCAAACAACAATAACATCAACAAAAGCAGCACCTGGGGATTAAATTTCGAAATGAAAATTCATATGTTCTACCACTAAGGTATGGTCTCTCACATGCATGTTTGTGATTTCCTCTGGGACTCATGAAAGATCAGATCAGATCAAAATCTCTCTTTCCCACCCTTGGATGCTGCTTAAAAGGCACTCTGGCTTGGTAACATTTTGCCATGAATTAAACACCCTGCTCTGCCACTCAATAAATCTTGAAATCACCATTGCAAATAAGGCCAAGGAGGAATCATTGAAGATACATAAGTATCTCTCATTTAGAGTAAGATGTTACACAAAGCCCATCAAGGTTAACTCTCCTGTGAAAACTGCAGTGAATGTTACATGCATTTTAACAGTAATTAAAAGAAAATAAGTAAGTCCCTTTCAGCACCATCAGCCATTTTAGGAATAGCATGAAAATGGTTGCTGATTATGCTATTAACAATTTGGCTTGCTTGTAGGCATTGTTCTTTGTTGCAGAAGGCTCTCCCCTAAAATTCTTTGTGCAAGATGAGCAGACACAGTGACAAATAGCCTTGGCAATACCTTGCCGACTTTTCCCTTTAAGCCTCCATTATTCCTGCTTATTAAATAAGTTCTTTTTGTTTGTGCACTTACAGAAAAGCCAAAAATAGACCCATTGCAATCCAGATCTCATAGTATTCAGACCTTGGAGCTGATTATTTCCCCTATCTTAATCTCTACCTGTCAGGCCAAATGGAGCAATGGGACTTGACAGTTCTGGGTTCAAACTTAATTCATCATTAGGAAATTATTCAAAAAGCTATAATGAGATCACTAATTTAATACACTTTGCTTCAAGGTTTATTCCTTGGCTGGCTTCCCAGATACAAAGCGTCTCTGTGCAATTATCACGCAGATGCCACTAAAAGACTTTAAATGGTTGCAGCTAATTTAACAAGAGATATGTTGGCATCGACAAGGCGACGCTGGACTGAAAACCGGAGTTCACTAAAACAGTAACAGCATCTCTAAAGGAGCATCAACAAGAGATATTTCACTGTATTTTCTATCCCCAGTCATTTGGGGAGGCTCGAATGTTCTCTTTCCCATGGAAAATCTGTTTGCATTTTATTATGCGTAGAAATTTCAATTGATTCATCAGCTACATTAATTGAAGAAACATGTTATTATAATGAAATTGTATGCAAGTTTACTCAGAAGTAAGCCCCATTCTGTTCAATGCTGATTACATCCTTTTAGATATGATTGCAGCCTTATATCCAAAGACATTTCCATAGGACTGCAGCTTTTAAAATCTATTAGGATTAGAAGGCACCCACCAGTTCAACTAGTAGCAGATTTGTTTTATGTACGTGTGAGTATACCGATCTAAAACTGAGTATGCTCAAAGGTACACAGTAAGAGCCCTCCTGGATTAGGCTTATCCTTACTTATACAGTATTACTATCCAGTTACAATCTGCAACAACAGATCAACATGAACATGAAGAGTTGTGGATAACTCATTTGAAGAGGGTGTGGTTGTCATGGTCAGTCATGAAGATGTCTAGTTAAAAGGAACTCAGGTAGTGCGGCACAGCCAGTCAGAACAGATAAAACTGGAGTACATGGTGTTGCTTATGACCTACATGGTCTGAGTCCCAGTTACCTACAGGATTGGCTTCTCCCATTTAATCAGTCCTGTACATTTAGGTCCTTTGGAGGATGTTTACTTCAACCAGCCAGAATCCTATTGGCCATTGTCACCCAGAGGACCTTTTCATAGGTCACTTCTGGACTGCGGAATGTCCAGCCAGAGGAGCTCCAACAGCCAATAAGCTGTCAGAATTTAAAACACAGTTAAATACCTCTCTCTGCTGGCAAGCCTACCTAGTCCATTTTAAACTATGAATTTCAAATGTATATTCTATTAGCAATGTGGTTTCATTCTATGTACTATGTATTTTAATATATGTATTTTATGGTATTGTATTGAGCCAAAATGAGATGTGGGTAACAAATAAAATTATTATTATTATTATTATTATTATTATTATTATTATTATTGTATGGGAACATCTTAGGCAAATATGATAAAAACAAATTGTAACCACCAGACCAGATGGCAGAGAACAACACATCTTACATAGAAATTCATAAGGCCCAAACTGCTACGTTTTGGTGGATAAGGATTCTGCTGTCCAAATCTGAATGAAATGTGTGGAAGCTGCCATTTTCATTCATATTAATGGACTCCCACAGAAAACATTGTAATAGCTTGTCTCCTATGAAACATACAATCAAAAAATGGCTTGGCTTGGGAGCTTCCCTTAGTTCCAGGTATTTCAGATTAGAGACCATGAATTTACACAGCCACATGAAAACATTTCCAAGAGTCAAAGCTCAGGTCTCACATGTCGGAGAAGAGATTTTTGATTTTTCTGCCAAAGTATCTAGAAGTGAATCTCATGCAGTAAATTAGTTGTGTGTGTATGTATGTATGTATGCATGCATGCATGCATGTATGTATGTATGTATGTATGTATGTATGTATGTGTATGTATACCAACATTCTATGTCCAACCATGGAATTATATTAATTCTTGCCTAACTGTAGGATCTGCAAAGTATGCCAAAAGTTATCTAACATGCATCCTGCACAGCATCTTTCCACAACCTGATGCCCCTAGCCTGACTGGGAAAGACAGGAGCTGCAATTTAACACATCTGGACAGCATCAAGCTGGAGAATACGGACATAGGGCAACTGTTTGCTCTGTCGTAATAATATTATGGAAATGCATCAATTTGTAAAACTTGGACAGAGGCCTTTTTCATCACAGTCTTTATGGTGTCAGCCCTGAAAAACAGGTTGTAAAACATTATTTCCTCAAATCCAAATATGCAAACAGCCTCACATGTCACACAGTAATGCAAAGGACAAGAGAACCTCTTCGGATGGGAACATCTCTTACACTTAAGGGCAGGTTGCAGTGAAGATGTGTCAATAAAAATCATTACATGTTTCACAAATTAAGGAAATTCACACATCATTTTCCAGGAAAATAATAATAACAATAAATTATCTTGCATAACAGAATCTGTAGGTCGAAGAAAGTCTTCCTACTCTTGAGGCAACAATGACCATGTGTCATAAAATATTGTAAAAAAAAACCAAACAAACAAACCCAACAACATATATTGTCAAAACAAAGACAGATTTTCAGCCAGAACCAAAGGCCATGTAACTGTGACTGAAGGACCTCTTCAGAGGTTGTCATATGAGTCTAGAGTTTTGAAGAAACAGGATGAGAACCTGATAGACAAATTTGTATTGAGCGATGGTCTGAATCATGAACATCCTCTGTTCTCTGAGATGCTGCAGCATCACTGGAACATCAACTTTCTGTAAAAATCAAAGGGAAAATTCATATAAATATTTGCATGTACTCCCTAAATGAATAGTTATATCGGTAAGGAAAAGATTATATAGTATTGTGTTAATTGTTTTTTCTCTTCTTTTTTTTGGATGGAAGAATCTACAATAGTGTTGATTCAATGGTATTGAGATGGAAATTTCCACTCTATGAAAACATGAAATCAGAGGGAGAAAGGGCAAATGCTATTTTAGCACCTATTAAAATTTCTAGAATCATCATCCTATCACTCACAGCAATGGCTATTTGTATTTTTAAAACTATGTTAGTGCCAGAATTAAGGGGGGGGGGTGTTTTTATGGCTACCATTTCAAGAATTCCTCAGCCAACATGGACACTTCACTGTGGAAATACTGGAAATACAAGATCTCCACATAGCGAACAAGTTGAGTCTTAATCACATCATATAACTGCAGGGTTTGTGCAGGAATTACACTGTAGCATAAAATCTCAATCTGGTATTATCTCTATTCTCATGCATCACATATTAGGGTGGGGAGGGGAAGGAATTAGTAAACTGGGCTGTGATGTGCTTCCTTGGGAGTGCTTTTACCCTGAATAGCCAATTAATTTTTTTAGAGAAGCAATAGGTAGCCGGAATCTGTGAAGCTGATATGACCCTAAGTCATGTGAACATAGGAAGAATTGCTGGATCAGTTTTGGCACTGGAAATAATATACAGCCAATGCAAAAAATTTAGCTACAAATAGTCATTGCCCTTACTGTTTAAAAATTCTATAATCTCCTTTTTAAGACACCAAGATGGCAGTCATCTTTGTCAGGAAGGTCTTTCATTCTTCCTGCCCTCATGATTTGGACATTCAAGTCCAGCACCTGAGATATTCTCCATATACTTTCAGAATGAGCTAGGTGCCCTCCTTAATGAGGTTGATAAACTCAAAACATCCCAAATACCTGCTTGTTATGTTCTCACTGGGGAGAGGGGCAATGATGTGTACATAGAGTTCCAAGACACCATAAGGGCAATCCAGTTGAACATCCTGCCATGCAGGAATGCACAATCAAAGCACTCCAGGCAGATGGCAATCCAATCTTTTCAAAAACTTCTAAAGGAGACTCCACCACATTCTATGCCACACTTTGAGGCAGAATATCCCACTGTCAAACAATATGCTTGTGTGGGTTGCTGAGAGTTTTCTGGGCTATGTGGCCATGTTCCAGCAGCAATATGTTTGAGTTCTATTCAGAATGCAAAATCCATGTCCCATTACCTAGAATCCAAAGGGTATGTTCCCTCTAAGTCTCTTTGTGGAACAATCCATCCAAAGAACCAAACGGGACTACTCTCAGTTCAAATGTATGAAGCAGAAGGAGGCCTTTCTTTTTCCTTTCATGGTTTTGCTAAATGTCAACACTGCATCAAAGAATGCAGTTGGGTGGAATCTGATCATCAACTCATGACCTAATTGCTTTGCTAAGCCTGTCAGAACATGGCCCTCTCTAAGCAGGGGAAAAATGCAGGCTAGTTTAGACTCGCTCAGCTCAACCTTACTCTTAAATTGCTGAGCATCTGGCCTGATTCCCCCCCCCCCTTTTTTTCTACTATATTTTTTCTACTATATCTTTCTTTCCCAAGTCAAGTTTTCATGTTATTAAGAGTTCTGGGACAGATATACTTTATCTAAACAATTGAAGTTGAAAACTTTGATTTTCAGTTAAAGCTAAAGATTTCCCCTAGATATTAAGTTTAATTGAGTCTGACTCTGGGAGATGGCGCTCATCTCCATTTCTAAGCCAAAGAGCTGGTGATCCATAGATGCCTCCTAGGTCATGTGGCCAGCATGACTGCATGGAGCACTGTTACCTTCCCATTACCTATTCATCTACTCACGTTTGCATGTTTTTAAACTTCTAGGTTGGCAGAAGCTGGTGCTAACAACAGGAGCACTCCCCATCCTGCAGATTCTAACGGTCAACCTTCCGGTCAGCAAGTTCTGCAGCTTAGCGGTTTAACCTGCTGCACCACTGTGCAGTTAGCACCTCAAAAAGTATTTTAAATATTGGCAGTCTATCTCTTGTTCAAATCCTTTATTTCTGAAAAAAATATTTTTCTGTTTAGGAGAAAATATGTTCTGCTGGACTGCAATTCTTACTTGAAATTTGATCCCTTTTGAAAGCACTGGGACTGCTTTTACACAATATAGTTAGGATCAGTTTTGAAAATTTATCTTATGCTGCTGGAATGCAACACTAAAGCTCTGTCTTTCTCCAACCTTCATTCCCACAATTCCAATGCTGCAAAAAATTTCCCAGACAGAAGATGAGAAAAGTGGTGATGGGGCTGTGCTTGTCAAAGGCTTTGTTAATTCCCTTCCTGCTCGCAGCATGGGGACGGGGAGGCGCTTTGTTCCCTTCCAGTGAAGAGAGAGACAAAACAGTCCCGTCTGGGACTTCTTGTGAGCAGGGCCAACTAGACTGCAGCCCCACTCACCTCACTTGTGCCCAAGATGCTGACTCACCAACCTGCCTCCAATGCAGTGTAATTTTCAAGGGTTGCCGTTAGGGGCTGGGTAGGAATTTTCCTCCCCTATGTTCTGGATTTTTTTTTTTTTTTGCCTACTCTACACTGTTCAGTACATGGCAAATTGACTTTACTGGATCTTTTGAAATCATTTAAAAGATCTAGTAAAAATGTTCAAACATGGAATTCATTTTTTCACTTGCCATTAAGAGCCAACAAAGATTCCAAAATAAAAGAAGGAACAGCTGTCAATTCATAAAAGGTCAAGAAGTATTTGGAAAATTGAAGAATGATAAAATTAAGCTTGTGAACAGACATAGCATATGGCTAACGTTTCCAGAAAATCATCACTATTTGCCAGATTTTGAAATTTTAAATGCAACCAAAATATTTGCTTAAATATTTGGCAAAGATACAAGTCTGGGTCTTGCAGTAGACAAATACAGTATTGTGTAACGGTTTCTATCCAACACATGCAGTAAATCTGTAATGTATGAATGTATTCATTTTGAATAGGTCTTCAGTAGAGATTATCTGAATACATAATACAACACTGTGACATTGCCATGCAAGAAACAAGGCATTGCATGAATAAAAGATGCTTGGCAAGGTGTGAAGAAGTGTCTGCTAAAGAATAAAAATCTACAGATGGTCTGGGAAAGGCTTCCAGACTTGGCAATTTAATATGTCTCTCATGGGGTTGCCGTTCTCCAACTCTTTGCTCTAACCCTAGCACATCACCTCCCACTTTTCCTTCTTGCTCTAACCTCGCTTTGCTCTTCCTCCTGCTCTCCTGCCAGAAATGATTAAGAGAATGGCAAGATCCAGATCAGAACGGAGTGCCATAGTCAGAGGTAGGCAACTTGGTGACTTCTAGACACTTTGAATTACAAATCTCAGAAGTATGGAGCAGAAGCCATGAAGCTGCAGGACACGCCATATGTCTTTGGTTCTAAGACATCATCACTTGTAAGATGCACACTAATTTCAGTACTACCACTAACAAAAAAAAAATACGTAAGACCAGCTCATGGTTCTCAGACAAACCCTATTTTAAAACATTTCTGCGAAGAGGAAACTGCATCTTAGAATCATAGAAATACAATATTGTTATTTTGACTGCCACACACCAAAAGGACACCCCTCTGGAATCTGTGGTTCCCTGCCAGATGTTTCCAAGTTTACCTCTGCAGTAGTGCTTGATTATCGTTCTTTATTATTAGTGAGAAACAAGCACCTTTTAGGAGACAAGCCTACTTACTTCATTGTGCTCCAGGCAGCCAATCATGAGTTCTGTCAAAATAACCACACCTGTCCTTCCCACACCCGCACTGCAATGCACCACAATTGGGGGGTTGCAGTTGTTACTGCTGTCCAGAACACTGTTGGTATGGCGCCGCACCGACTGGATCTCTTCCAAATAGGCTGCAAGATGGGGATAAAAAGAAAATTACATTCCCCCCACAGAACTGGATGTAGCTTCACATGAATGGAGACAAATGTATGGAGGAGTAAGTTCCTGCTTAAATTATGATAATTTACAGTTCTGAAAAGACACTAATTATTTGGCCTCCGGACAGCAAATGGCACTGAATCCAGCAAGTACCAGCAGGGTGTCAATTACTACTTGGGACTTTGGTCCTTTAAATTAAACAGCTCTTTTTAAAAACACACACAGGCACTCTTTCCCCCTCTGCAAATCCCTAGGTCCCTTAAGCAGATGACTGTAGACATTACTTACAGCAATTCCTCCTATTAACAGGCTGGGATCAGAACAGCAGCAAGGTCCCCTTGAAACAAATGTCTGTCAGAGCCAGAATCTAATGGGAAAGGAGCATCCATCTGGTCCTTGCATTACCTTGCATAGTAAGGTAGAATTTAAAGCATGTCTACTTCTCAAGCAGGAACTCATGCTGCTTCAAACATAGTTTTTTTTCTATGCAGAGAGAGATTCATCCATTATGGCAGTTTCCATGCATTGTCTTATGTTTACAGAAAATCTATTTTACTAATTACTTGGTTATGTTGTAATAAAGCCAACATGTTGTTTGCTTGCTCCTAGTGTAAGCAGGAAGAACTAAAGACACCACAGATCTTCTTACTATCTTTGTTTAGCATGAGAGCGGGAACCTAGAACATGAGACCTGACAGGAACTTGGTTACTCTGGGCTGTCTTTTCCCTGAATTGTCAGAGTGGGAAAATTATGGATTATTTCTCTGTCAAGGGATAGAAAAGCAAAAGTGCTGGGTTGTAGACATCATGCTAAACAAACAATTAAGTCTATGGCTTGTTCAGCTACTTATTATTATTCTGTGTATTTTACTATAAATTTTATAGAAATACATTTTAATATGTGCATTTATAAAAGTTTTACAGTGTTTATGGCTTTTAATTGTGCTGTAACTCACCTCGAGCCATAAGGAGAGGCAGGTAAGAAATAAAACTGTTGTTGTTGTTGTTGATGATGATGTTGTTGTTATCTACTCCTAATGTGAGCAATTGGGCAGTGTTTGTCATGACACCCCAATTGGTATGCATCAGAAGTTCACCAAAGCTTTTGCAAGAAACTTCTTTTTCTTGGTCTCAAAAGTGTTACAACTTTCCTTTATACGTCGCTTTTATGCTGCAACAGACTATTATGGCTTTACCTTTGAATGCTATTAGTGCTTCCTAATTTCTTTTTGTGGGGTGGTCATCGGCTCCTTTCAGAAACTATGAAAGCTATATCCCCCGCCCCCCTCCAGAGCAATGAATTTAAGCACAACTAAGCACAACTTTCAAAGGAACAGGAAGGAAGCTGAGTCTTTATTCCCAGTTCAGATACTGACTCCCTCCCACCCACAAGAAGCTCATTCATGGATCCCTTACTAGTTTAAGAGCCCCTACTTTAAGACATAGCCGGATGTCAGCTCTATGCATGTGTTTTGTTTTAGGGAATAATTAACAAGCAAGAGTGGAAAGCACCGCTATTCCTATTGCTCTAATTCCATATATTAAACTTTCATGGAAATGATTTAGAACTTGGAAAACCTGAATTCTAAATTATACTTTATCAACTGACACAACATTTATGAACGTATGATCTGGATTTAAACAGGTTCAGTAGACAACACAACTGAATTTGCAAGGTTTCCATTTTGGACTACCATTGCCAGCATAGCCAGGGAGGGATACTGGAAGTGATAGTTCAGAAGAAAATGAAAAGACTTCTAAGTTCTGATTATCTACTCTGACAAGGAGCGGCTCTCTGGAAAGAAATGTTCCACCCATGCGTTATGATTATCCTGCATAAGTCACTGAGCTATGTCCACTCCTCGAGGGACCCCAATCACAATGTGTTCTCAGCAGGTCAGCAAACAATTCTTTTGCCAAGACATTGTGATAAATGTATGAGAGGCCAACATATCATTTCTCCATCCCATAAAGTGTTTGCTAGCATCTTGTTATGTTTGGCTCATTTCAGTTATTATACTTCACAACTGCTTCCAGGTTAGGGCCTTGAGAGCCAGGCTGTGCCCTATGAGGGAATGAGCACTGTTTGCTAGCTTTGGGTCAGGATCCTATTGATATGTTGGTATGGAAAATGGCAGTGAGGTGTGTTGGTGGATATAGGTACAGTATATGTGACTGACACAAGCCACTAGAGAAATAAGCTAGTGACATCTGGCAGATTTTTTCTGCCTTCCGCACTACCACTGCATGATTCTGGAAAAGGTCAATTATTAGCAAAATGCACAAACACTTTTGTGGCCTTATTCTTGACTTATTCCTCAAAGCAAATTGAAAAACACCACTTCACTTTTCAACTGCCTTTCTAGCAACATGCAACAAATCTTACACAGAAAGCCTTGTTCTTCTGGACATCCGTGATCCGGCCAGTCGGTATACTGCAAATGCCACACCGTCTTCTCTTGTCCTAACAAGAGGTGCTTCACCTTCAGACCTGTGGTGGCATAGCAGCCAGAATCAGTGCGGAATTTGGTGGTCACTTTAAACTTCCCATAAGTGGCTGAGCTGTGCTTGGAGCCAAGTTTGGGCCAGTAGCGATGGCTCTTGGTTCTTCCTCTTTCCTATTCCGCAACACAAATAGAAAGGGAAGCAAAATCACCACAGCTGTACTATTATGATCATAGTTCTGCAGAAGAAGAAAGTGCCAGGGATTCTGATAGCTCAATTACAGAGTCAGTAATTTTTTAAAAGCCGAATACTTTTGTCACAGACAATGGTTGGAATCCTGTTGGTCAGTCCCTGTTCAGGATTAACAATCAGATTTAGACCAATAATTCTCTGCCAAAAAAGAACACACAAAAATTGGCAACATCAAGTACTGTATGGCTCGTAGCTATAAGAATAGGTATGTCTAGGCAGTGTATTATGCACACAATTGTATTTTTACTTATAACATCAAGCTTACATTTATTAACTTGACTAGTAGCCACAGAGAAAAAATATTTTAGACAAACAAACAAGTGGACTGACAGAAGAAGGATAGAGTGCTCTACCATTGCTACACCAGGTGGCTTGGGAATAGGCAAATTTGCAATTTACTGGTCTGCATCTCTATGAAGGAAAGGGAAGTACTGTGGTCAGTACTGAAGGCTAGTAGAAAGTATCTGTAGGCAAATCTTTTTGTTATTATTGTTGTTGTTGGCATATTCTCAAAATTGTTTTACAAACAGAGAAGATTATATAAAAGAGAAACTAGACCAAATTCAGGACTATTCCTACTTTTCTTTTTTTGTACAAGCAAATTTGGTCAGGGTCAGAAAGGGCTAGAGAAAATTGTCCTTCAGTCTATCTCTAAGGCCAAACCCTCTCTACAGATAATATCACCAAAAAAAAATAGTCACAGCTTCAAGAAGCCAAGAAAATAAGGTATGGGGGGAGGTTCTACCAAGTATTGACATGGAAAGAAGCTAAGACAGGTCAGTTGTTTAGAATCATAGAATCATACAGTTGGAAAAAACCTTGTGGGCCATCCAGTCCAATCCCCTGCCAAGAAGCAGGAAAATTGCATTCAAGGCACCCCCAACAGATTGCCATCCAGCCTCTGTTTAAAAGCCTCCAAAACAAGGAACCTCCAACACCCTCTGGGGCACAGAATTCCACTGCTGAACAGCTCCCACAGTTAGGAAGTTCTTCCTAATGTTCAGGTAGAATCTCCTTTCCTGTAGTTTGAAGCCATTGTTCCACATCCATCTCCAGGGCAGGAGAAAAAAAGCTTGCTCCATCCTCCCTATGACTTCACTTCACATATTTATTCATGGCTATTATGTCTCCTCTTAGCCTTCTCTTCTGAGAAGCTCAGCTCTTTAAGCCACTTCTCATAGGGCTTGTTCTCCAGACCCTTGATCAATATCTCCCTTTAATTGCAGTGCCCAGAATTGGATACAATATTCCAGGTGTAGTCTGACCAAGGAAGAATAGAGATCTCTGGATGTAGCCACTATACTCCTATTTATGCAGCCCAAAATCCCTTTGGTATTTTTTGGTGCCACATGACATTGTTGGCTCATGTTTAACCATTATTTATTTATTTATTTATTACTGCACTTGTAGACCGCCGTTCTCAGCCCTAGGACTCCAAGATCTTTTTCACACATACTGCTGTTGAGCCAGGCGTCCACCATTCTGTATCTTTGCATTTCATTTTTTTCTGCATAAGTGGAGTATCTTGCATTTGTCCCTGTTGAAATTCATTTTGTTAGTTTTGACCCATCTCTCTAATCTGTTAAAATGGTTTTGAATTCTTCTCCTGTCTTCTAGAGTATTGGCTATCCCTCCCAATTTGTTGTCATCTGTAAACTTGATGATCATGCCTTCTAACTCTTCATCTAAGTCATTAATAAAGATGTTGAACAGGACCGGGCCCAGGACAGAATCTTGCGACAATCCACTCATCACTTCTTTCCAGGATGAAGAAGCAGCATTGGGGAGCACCAGCTCCACCTAACCATAGTTTTGCCTAGCCTACACTGGACTAAGTTTATTTGCCAGAATGTCATGGGGGGCCTTGTCAAAGGCCTTCCTGAAATCCATGTCATGAAGACATTTCATGGAAGAACAGTCTTCAAAATGCCAGTACAAAGCTCTTGGGATATTTGAATCGGGGGTTTAAAGGGAACAAAGAAATGTTGAGAGTATAGTTCAAAACATTTTAAATTAGTGCTTAATTTTAACCTGTGTGTGTTCAAATAATGGAGATATTGAACCACAGCATACAACAAATGATGCTGAGTACTTCAGTCAAACAATTTCCAGTACATGTTCACAATGATGAGGTTTGGCATTTATCACAGATGCATTTTGTTGGGAGAAAACAAAATTTTCATGAGCAATCACACTAAGCATCCAACCCCCTCAGGGCTTCATTTCTGTAGTTTTCCAGAAAACAGCTGAATGAGGATATGGAGAAAGGGTGGTGAACTAATAATACTATTTAGTGGCTCACAGAACAGTTAGTGGTTTGGACAGAGACTATTTCCCTTGCTTCAAGGCATGTTGGCTTTCAGAATTACTCAAAATGTTTTTTTCTACATTCAGATTATCATTCCTAAGAAGAAATATCTACCATCTCAGAACATCAAAGAATCCCTGCTGTTCATATGTATTTGGGGGGGGGGGGGGGGGGGGGGGGAGGTTTAGTACAAATAAATGCACATAGCCACAAATCAGTTCTTAAGACAGCCCCACTGTTTAGCAAGTTATGTTTTCCATGGCTAAATTATTCTGGAACTGTGCATTTAATGGACTCTTGCTCCCCCTTCTGAACAGCCGACAGTGGTAAATGTTTAAAACAGGAAAGCTCAGGCCATACTGCTAAAAAGAGAACATCTGCTCCAATGTCCCTGTAAAGGCTGAGTTGTTTTGAACTGTATACAGGGTTGGTTACTAATACAACTTACAGTAATTGGATTTCAACAAGACCTATTGCTTTGCTTGGCATAGGACTGCAGGCTTTAAAAAAAATCTGGATACATGAATGAGAACAATAGTTTCTGGTCTCTTTGTAACTGATAAGGAAGCCAGTATGCAGAAGCGGCCTTGGATGAGTGGAGAATGTCACTCTTTGCAAATAAGAGCAGCTTTGTATTCTCAGAATTCACAGGAATTGTTTTTGCTTTGTTTGGCATGGCACAATCTTCTAATGGAGTTAACCTTCCATTCTTACACTCTCTGGCCAGCCGAATGTTAAAATATTACAGAATAAGGTTATAATGATTGAGTCGTTTCAGGGAAATCTTCAAAGGACTTTTAAAACAAAAGAAAATTAAAAGCAAACACCCTCGCTTCCCATGTTCCTACCAAGTAAAACAAAAAAAAAGGGGCTAGCAAAGACAAGCAGATACTGCAGGCTGGTTGTTGTACATCACAAAAACAAATATACAAATATTTAAGCCTCCTCAACTGTACCCAAGATAAACCAAGGTCTGACTGCAGAGCTGTTCTCACCTTTGTGCTCTGACAGAAGATAAATTAATCAAGAGGGAGAGGAAACACTTCACAAAAGATCAAGGTATGCAGTCTTCAAGGCTTAAAGATATGGGCTCAGAAGAAAAAATGTAAGCAATGTCTGGTTTTTTTAATTTTTTGGGTTTTTTTGTGTTTGGAGCGACTTGAGAAACTGCAAGTCGCTTCTGGTGTGAGAGAATTGGACATCTGAAAGGATGTTGCCCAGGGGATGCCCAGATGTTTTGATGTTTTATCCTTGTGGGGGGCTTCTTTCATGTCTCCGCATGGGGAGCTGGAGCTGACAGAGGGAGCTCTTCCATGCTTTCCCCAGATTTGAACCTCTGACCTCTCGCACTTCAGTCCTGCCGGCACAGGGGTTTATATCTACTGCATCATCAGGGGCTTGTAACAATGTCTGTGAGATACTATTTATTTGCACTATCAGTAATGAGAGCAGACAGCGTGTGTTTGAACCAGAAGCTGAGAATACTACTTTTTGCACTACAGTTCTCCAAATGCCTCTGCACACCATAGTGGCTGTGGGGATTCTGAGAGTTGTAGTCCAAAGAATAAATGTTTCCAGACTCTGTTGAGAATTACATTCCAAGGATGCTCAGAGGATTGCTTACTGTTGCTGAAAGATAGATATTCTGGAGCCAAGAAAGGACAGCTAGAAAACAGTCCCCTCTTCTGCTCCTCCACTGCCTAGTCCCTAGACTGGTTCACCAAATAACAACCCCATTGGGTTGTTGTAGGTTTTTCGGACTATATGGCCATGTTCTACAAGCATTCTAGGGCAGGCATCCTCAGAGGTTGTGACCTACAACAATCCAGTGAATCCAGCCATGAAAGCCTTCGACAACAATCCCACTGCCAACAACTATCAAGGACAGGGGGATGAAACAAGTTGTGTATGTTAACAACATGTTGTGGGCCTCCCAGGTCTTCTGATTGATTACAAAAACAGAATGGTGGGCTAGACAGACATTCATTTGTCTGCTTGGTGCTTCTCATACTGAGTGAGGCATATGAAAAAGTTTTAAATCAGTTTTAAGGATTTAAACTGCTTATTTTTAATACTGTTGATATTTAATTCTATTTTAATGTTTGTGTATTTTTAGGTTTTGAATTGCATTGTATTGGTTGTATTGTAAGCCACTTTGAGTCTCTTTTTAGAGAGAAAAAGTGGGATACAGATAATGATAATTAAATTTTTTCATTTATATTTATTTGTTTGTTCTCTTTATATCCTGTCTTTCTCCCAGCAACTTAGGATAAAGAATTATGTGTGAAACCTCTGCTTAACCATATAGCTACTGATTATTCTCTCTTAGCACAAGCTATAATTCTGAGGGTAAAATCAGACAAGGACAAAGTGTGCTGTCATGAGCTTTGCAAGAGGAACAGTAGGACAAAAAATGATTAAAAATACTATTTTTTTTGTGTGTGTGTCAGGAGCGAGTTGAAAAACTCCCAAGTTGTTTCTGGTGTGAGAGAATTGACCATCTGCAAGGATGTTGCCCAGGGGGTGCCCTGATGTTTTACCATCCTGTGGGAAGCTTCTCTCATGCCCCTGCATAGGAAGCTGGAGCTGACTGATGGGAGCTCATCCCACTCCCTGGATTTAAGCAGCTGACCTTTCAGTCAGCAGTTGTGCCGGCACAAGGGTTTAACCCATTGCATCACCAGGGGCTCTAATGCTATTGTTGAAAAACAAAGTAGTTGGAAGAAAAGCTTAGATCGTTCTTAAAGCCACAGTAGTTCCCCTGCTTCAGCAGCTCATACTTTCTTGTTTAATTAAAATACTTTCAGACAAGAAATAGAAACTTTCATTTTTTTTTGATGTCACACTAAACTATGACTTAATAACACATAAATGGGTCTAAACTTCCTTCTGGGTTTGTGTTGCTGCTGCTCCCCTTGGTTCTTTATGCACAGTTGGGAATTATTTTGGTTAACTGTCGTTTGTTTTCCTATCTAAACCAAGAAACTATTACTATCATTAATTATGGTCAAATTAAATCAAGCCAGCTCAAATTATAGTTCTAGGTTGAGATGACATGGTAAGTTGAGGTCAACAAAATGTAGAAAGTTTACAAACAGGAGGAAGAGAGTTAGGGAACATACTGGCCTGGGAAATTAGCCTATCACACAATGGGTCCTTAATCAATGTTCTTAGAGCTTATTTAACCTAACTACAATTTCCAGGAATTCTTGACCATGCGGCATGATATTTGCAGTTTCTGGGAAATGAAGTCAAATGCCAAAATTCTACATTTAAGTCATGAAAAAGAAATGCACAAGATGGAGAATACTTGGTTTCACAGTAATACATGTGAGAAGGACCTTGGGATTATTGTTGATCATAAGATGAACATAAGCCAACCAACAGTGTGATGCTACAGCAAAGAAGGTGAATGTTTTGTTAGCTTGCATTGATAGAAGCATAGTTTCCAAGTCAAGGAAAATTACAGTCACACTATATTCTGCACAGGTCACATGTCATCTTCAAGTATTGTATTCAGTTCCGAGTGTCTTATTTTAAGAAGGTGAACAACAAGTTGGAGCATATTCAGGAAAGGTTAACAAGGATGACATGGTGAATGAAACAGACTGAAGGGTGACAGTCCTATGTAAAAGGTTGTCATAGATAGGAGGGTGCAGTTTTGTTCTCTACTGCCCCAGATTGTAAGATCAGGTCCAACCACTTTACATTACAAGAGGTTAACTCTTGACAGAATGTTAGAAGTAATTTCTTGAGGTAAGAGTGCTTCAGCAATTTTTATATTAACCAAAGAGATGGTGGGATCTTTTTCTCTCAATATCTTAAAAAAGAATACAGACATCTATCTAAGGGGATAGTCAGAATTTCTGCACTGAGCAGGGGATTGGATGCAATGGTCTATGGAGTCCTCTATCACTCTATGAGTCGAAGGCCATCATCACCTGAGAACTTACTCACTCACTGGCATGATCTGTGATTCAACATACCTCTTCTGCTGTCACCATGGCTATCACATTCACTCCTTCTTCCCACACCATTTGCCAAAAGTCATGACATGTTTGTGGTAAAGGTCCCTGCGTAGCAATGTAGTGCCATTCCTCCCCGCCTACTGTAACCTGAGGAAGACAAAGACAAAGGAGTAAGTGGTAGGTTACTTCAAATGTACACCACCATCTCAGTTTGCCATCCTTCCTCTTTATGTACTCATAACATTTTGCTTTTACATGTAAAATTCATCCGTTCTTGTTACTGATACCCACAAGATATTGTTCTTTATTATTATACCTCTTTCCCATGTAAGAGCCCAAGCAAGATGTGTATGTATATCTATGCAAGTGCATATGTATTGCTTTAAACAATGTGTGCTGTAGAAATATTAGGTTAGAATTACAGCCTGGCCTCCCCATTTTCTAGGGTTAGGGGCACAGGATCCTCATAAAAGTGAAAACCCCTAAATAAAAAAATTATTTGTTAACCTGAGAGCACATTACTCATGGACTTTCTAAATTTGTGGTTCTCAACCTGTGGGTCCCCAGGTGTTTTGGCCTACAACTCCCAGTAATCCCAGCCAGTTTACCAGTTGTTAGGATTTCTGGAAATTGAAGACCAAATATCTGGGGACCCACAGGTTGAGAACCATGATTCTAGATTCTCCAACATGACTCTATAGTCAACTTTCACTGGATACTGACCATGGAATTGAACTGGAGGAACCTAGAAAAGAAAGTTAACCATAGTTTCACTGGTGAATCTAAATATTCCTAAAGAACATTTTAATCAAATCTAAAAATAATAAAAATCTGCAAAAGTCAAGCCTGTAAATGTAGAGGGTCATCTGTAGAAAAAAAGGCATATACAGTAGTTGTTTACATGTCAGCATGGAAGTAAATCTTCTCTAGGTTTCAGTCTAAACTTTAAAAGAAATATCCTTAATGGAAAACCTATTCTGGAGCTAGAGTTCATCACTTTAGATAGCTTCTTTGAAGTTCAAACTAAATCCTGGAGCAGATTAATCACATCACTGTTGGAAGCCACCTTAATATTATAAGTTATATTGAAATCTGTCAAAACTGAATATCCCTGTCAATTTCAATAACTTTTCAACTCAATACCTACATGTTGTAGTTAGTTAAAAATAAGAAGCAGAAAGTTATGTGTTGACCAGGAAAAAAGAGTGCACATATTAAACACCAAAGCTATGCACAGGCAGAATTGTCGTCATCCTGAAATGCCCAGGACAGTGTTAAGGAAGCAAAATATGCAGACAAACCACCCAAAGACGACAAACTTGGTAGCACTGTAGGCATGATCTTACTGGAATGTTATGGGAGTTTTGCTTGGCCTGCTGTGTTGTGAGCCAACTGTTCCGCCTCCTTGGCAAGAGACACGAAGAAAACTCCATAAATAGTCTAGAGGGAGTGCACAGCTTGGAAAGTGGAAGCGTTCTACTGCCCTGAATGCAGGATATTAAAAATTGATAACTGGGCGAAAACCACTTGCTATGTAAGTGAAGGTAAAATGTGGAGAAGCAATTTCACCTTCAGAGCAAAAAAGAACATCTGCTTGGCTCCGGTAGCAGCCCACTTGGAGTGAGGAAAGAAATGTGCTGGCAGCATATAGAGTCATATACTACAAAACACCAGCACACATCCCAACATGCGCTACAGAACAATGTGTGTGTGCCCAATGCTGACACACAAGGATGAAATATGAGCTCTTAAAACTGGCTTGGGAGAATTCATTTTTGGCCCTTACCATCCAATGGGGTGAAATTGTGCTTTCAGAAATTATTTGTCCTCCCACAAATGGATGAAAAATGTTAGAGTCAATAATCAGTCATCCAAACAGAGACAGATAGTGCCAAAAACATGCAGTATCTTCTACCCACCAGTCTTTTGGCAGAAATCTGAACGAATTTTGGTTTACAAAGGTGTTTTGATTCAACATGGGTTCAGCATTGTAAATTATGACCAAAGTGTTCTTGGATCTCAGTAGAGATGTCTTGCAGCAAGATATGGTTGTAAATTAAAATTATGTTAGCAAGTATTGAAAAACTATCATAAAAGCAGGTATGACCAGAATATATTCAGCTAATGCAGTGAACTGCTGGAACAGCAACATGAAAGAGTTTTTCTCTAAATTTCCCCTCTGAAGTTTTTATTTGTGTATTTAATGTTTTGAACGTTTTTATTCATTGTATAGCACCTCAGAGCCCAGCAGATTAAGAAGGGATACACAAATGCTATAAACAAACAAATAAACTGTTTATATGAAACATATTCAGGGGCAGTCATGTTGGTCACACAGCAAAATACAATAAATTTCAAAATCCACAAAACAGTGACAGATTTATTGGGCAAATCCCAGAGCATGAAACATGTCAGCCAACCTTTTGTTGCTTCACTGGCTTCATCATCATCATCATCTAAAGATTTTAAAATTCATAAAGAAAGGTAGCATGACATATGAAAAGCTATATGGAAGTGGCTGAATGTGACCTATAAACTGCATTCAGCCTCCGAAAGCCAAATGTGTCATCCCGAAAGACCTACCCTCACACATGTACACACATGTGCAAAATTGGCCAATTACACCCCAGAAGCCTCCATGGAGGGCACAAGTTAATCATTTAAAAGGTCTACCTGACTGTTTTATGGCTGAAAGGGTCCTCTAAATTTTGGTTTGGAAAAATGGATTGCCAAGGTATCTGGTAGATGTTTTAAAAACTGAAAGGGCAAATATCAATACAAAACTCACGCCGCATAAAGTCATTACTACATTTGTAATGGTAATAGGATATGTGCAGGCTATAGGTAACATAGAAATGTAGAGATTTCAGGAAAAGTGGTAACAAATATTTCTATACAATCCTTTTATCATTTATATAGTCTCCCGAAAAAGACCTAAAAGTACTCAGAGCTGATTTTTTTACTTTTTTTTACTTACTTTTACTTTTTACTCAGAGCTGATACGCAGTACACAACAAACAAGCATTTTTTAGCATTGTGCTATGTGTCCTTTGTTCATTCTGGATGCTCCTCAGCATTTTGCCCTTCCAAAGTTGTCCACTGTGGCAATATATTGAATGAAGGCTTAACTCTTTTGTTCCTCCTTCTTGGGCTCTTCGCTCTTCCCAAAGGCACTTTTTCTATTCCTATCTCATCTAGGGTTTTATTATTCCATCTGTGCATTCGGCCCACCCTATCTGTTTGACCTTTATTATGTTATTGTGCATTGGTCATTTTATTTTGTGATTTTATGTATTTTGTTCTGATGTAATTTTTTCTGTTGTTTTGTATTTTATTTTATTGCATTGTATTTTTGGGCTTGGTCTCATGTGAGCCACCCCGAGTCCCCTTAGAGGAGATGGTGACGGGGTATAAATAAAGTTATTATTATTATTATTATTATTATTATTATTATTATTATTATTTATCTAGAGCTTGGAAAAATTACTTGCTTGAACTCGCATTCCACGATTGAGTTCTTCCTAACATGGATTCAAATGTTGACATTAAAATCATTATTTTTCTTCAAGAAAAATAATGTGGAATGCGAGTTCAAGCAAGTAATTGAACTGCAAACCAGGGGAAACTTTTTCACATTGAGGCCACACTGCAGGCCAGGGTGGGATGGAGGCCACTCGCCGGAGGTGGCAGGGCTGGATAGTGGCAGTTGCCATGGTGGGTATACTATATGTGTTTGACCCTCACTTTAACTGCTATGTTTAATCCCCACATTAACTACAATCTGGGAGTTGTAGTTCTGGGAGGGAATTCTGAAAGGGCCATCCTCTTGGCAGGAAGGGTAGACACGTGACTATGCAGAGCTCTTCCAAGAGTTTTCTGTAGCTGCATGTGACTGCCCTGGCCCTCTGCTCGGCAGGTGGATGGTGAGACATGTGGCTGCCCTGATCTTCCTCTCAGCATGAAGATGCAGCAGCTTCATGCTGAGAGGAGGGTCTGACAGTGGAGGGCCGAAGAAAAGAACCCAACAGGCCTGATGTGGCCCGTGGGCCAGGGTTTGCCCATACCTGGTGCAAAACGATCCTGTTTATTCAGATACATGTTCCAATGTATCTATTTTGTAGCTCAACAATGCAACCCTACACAAGCCAGCCCCTCTGGGTTTAATGGGAATTAACTTCAGATAAATGATAATATTACAGCCTAAGTGAATAAAAGCATTGTGTTACTGTACAGGTAAGGAATAAAAAAACATTTTGAAGTTACATTCAAACTTTGTCAATCTTATATTGAAATTATTATTGTTATTTATTATATTTATTTATATTCTGCTTTATCTTTCTCAAAGGGGACTCAATGCAGCTTAACATTTAAGCATCAGCATAACCATTTAAAATATACAAACGTTAAAACAGGATTAAATATAAACAGTATTAAAATATTAATAAGTGTTATGACTTGTATGTCTAATTTATGTGTCTACTCACACATACAGACTAAATCTGGATCCAAATCTTTGTGATAAAAAGGTTAACAAATCACAAGTAATGATTAACACTCCGGAAACAATAGAAACACATTAAATCTTGGTCACTTAAGCCAAACGAGAGTGACTTCTGACTGGTCTGTTTAGATCTAAATATTGGTCTCTCAAGCTCACGTCAAATATACATATCTACAAACTCATTTTTTTTTATCAGTTGTGCTTGTTTCCGCCCATTTGCTGTTACCTTTATGTGTGAGGCATTGATGTAGCCTGTGTTGTTTTCTTTGGTTGGCACTAGCTCCACTCGGTTCTCCTCATATGGAACTACTTCTCTGACACGGTTACGCTCTATGTTCTCAGGAAGAACTGCTGTAGTAAATATCCCGTCCACTTTCTTCTTTGGGATCTGCTCGTATTCAGTGAATACCATCCCATCTTCCAGTTTTCTTCTCAGAAGTCTGCACTTTAATTTACAATTTAAAAAGAGGGTGGGTTGGGATGGAGAGAAGATGTTACTTTCAAAGTTTTGCAAAAAGATCCTTATCCCCTAGTACTGGGATAGATGTATGTATTAATCACAATGGGGGAGAATAATTTATTTATTTATTTATTTAATGCATTTGTTGACCGCCGCTCTCAGCCCTAGGGCGACTCGCGGCGGTGTACAACATATAAAAACAGTTTACAAAAAACACAGAGTATATCAACAAACCATATAACACGCTTAATCTAAATTACACTAAACTAATCCGCACCGTCACCACATAGGGATCTACCAGTCTCATAATCCGTATTTCGTTCCGATTGTCATTGTCATTGTCAGTTAGTCTGGGACTAGTTAAATGCCTTCTCGAAGAGCCAGGTCTTTAGGCTCTTACGGAAAGCCATGAGAGAGGGCGCCTGTCTGATGTCAGCAGGGAGGGCGTTCCACAGCCGGGGGGCCACCACTGAGAAGGCCCTCTCTCTCGTCCCCGCCAGACGCGCCTGCGAGGCAGGCGGAATCGAGAGAAGGGCCTCCCCAGACGATCTCAAGGTCCTCGTGGGCTCATAGGCCAAGATGCGGTCCGAGAGGTATTTTGGGCCGGAACCGTTTAGGGCTTTGTAGGATAACACCAGCACCTTAAATTGGGCCCGGTAGCAGATCGGCAGCCAGTGGAGCTGGGACAACAAGGGCGTTGTATGCTCCCTGCGTCCCGCTCCCGTTAGTAACATGGCTGCCGCGCGCTGGACTAGCTGAAGCTTCCGGGCCGTCTTCAAGGGCAGCCCCACGTAGAGAGCGTTGCAGTAGTCAAGGCGGGATGTGACCAGAGCATGTACCACCGTGGCCAAGTCAGACTTCCCAAGGTACGGGCGCAGCTGGCGCACGAGCCTAAGCTGTGCAAATGCTCCCCTGGTCACCGATGAAACCTGGGGATCCAGGCTCAAAGATGAATCCAGGGTCACACCCAAGCTGCGAACCTGCGCCTTCAAGGGGATAATTGATTATCTTTACTCAATAGTTATCATCTGGCTTTTTCAAAAAGTTACTTAATGCAGATTAATCTCCAGACTATACATTTTTCCAATTATGTAACATCATCCCATCTATCATCAGATAAAAGGTCTCCATTGCTTTCACAGTCTGACTGACTCCGATACTTCTGTCTTGTTTGCCTTAATTTTCATTCTTTTAAAAAGGTTATTTTAGGGTTGTTATATCAAGTTGAGAATTCTGGTTCTTAATTCTCATGAATGTTGGTTCCTAGTTGCCATGAAAAACAGTATCTTACCAATGCTTGAAGATGGGGGAAATTTTCTTTGATTGACATGTTGATTTAAACATCTCAGATTTTTTATTCTTTATATAAAGTTGAAAATGAAATGCTCCTATCCTATGATATTTGTACTTCTACAAACAAGAAACTGTGCAAAAATGTGTATATGAAAAGAAACTGTGCATAAAAATATGTGTGTGTGTATAGTTGTGAGTTAAATGTACAAAAAGAACATCAGATAACGAAAAACTGCTTGCAAAAATGCATAATTAGGTAATTTCACTTATAATATTAGAAAAAAATGTGCACAAAATGCATTGAAATGTTCATGAAATGTAATAAAATGCAAATTGAAAGCTATTTTGGATTTCCAAGTATTTCAGATTTCAGAATTATTGATAAGGGATGCTCAACCTGTATGTATATGTGTGTGTGTGTGTGTGTGTAATTAAAAGCTCTCATCTCTGGAGACAGAGAATTTTCTCAAGGGCTTGTGCACTGTGTAGGATTCCACACATTTATCTCCATGTTCCAATCTTATGCACAGAATCAAGATTTGGCAGTCAGGTGTACTTGCAGATGTATTATATGTTTACCTGGCTTTTTAACGCATCAAGAATGGTTGCCACTGACAAGACACCCAGACGGCATGCTTTGCTTGGAAAGGCCTATTCTTACCCGCTCATCCATTGGCACCTTGGCTCCTTCATCCTGGCTATCCTCAGGCACTGGAACTCGAGCAACTGAGAGACCATTGAGCGCTGCCAACATCAAGGGCCTCTTCTGGGCCTCCAGGCCTGCCATCTTCTGTTTCTCTAGATACTTTTGGCAAGAAAAGACACGCTTTCATCTCAGGGTGATTAGAAATCATGCCAGCAGAATGTTGGAATGTCTTTTTAATCTCCCCACAAAATCTACAATGCCAACTGAGAAGTGGAGATGATCGCCATTTGCAGAGTGGATTCAAATGCATCTCCTAGACTTTGTATTATTTCCCCAGGGAGCAGGGATGGGGTATTCTTACATGAGTACAGAATTTCAATTTCAAAGGAACAGTCGCCACAATGCAGAAGACTAGCCATCAAAGACAGGCCTGCTGGTCTCTCTCTTTCTCACACACACATGAACACATGTTCCCAGCCTGTGTAAATGTTAGGCAGAGTGTGCATAAACAGGCAAGGCAAGCCAACTGCAAAGACAATACATAAGCTCGGACTGGTAGTAGATTTTGAATAGTACTGTGATATAAAATGTAGGACAATGAGCTCCGTCAAGTATACACTGAATTACTACACTACTCCATCCCTACTTCACTCCTGGAGAAAAAAAGTGGAAATAATGTTTGTCATAGATGCAGGCAAAATGTCAGGAGAGAATGCCTCTAGAACATGGCCATATAGCCCGAAAAAAACGACAACAACCCAGTGATTCCAGCCATGAAAGCCTTTGACAATACAAGTGGAAATAATCTACAAAGAGTGGTATTTTCTAAAGGGACAAGCTATGAAATACAAAACTGGATTTTTTTTCAGCCTCAAATGGAGTAAAATCAATTAGGATATTTCCTCTGCTGTTTTTTTAAATTACTAAATAGGGGTTCAAAAAAACAAAAAAACAAAACCACCATCCCAACTCACACGGTGCTTTTCTCACACTGATTCTGGATGCATGAACATTTCTGTGACATTTTGAATTGTCCCTCAAAACTAAAGGGGATCAAAGCTGAAGCAGCATTTCTTTTGCAAGCAATAGCTTGTTCCTGCACTTAAAACGTATGAGCTCAAAAACAATTCCTAAGTACTATGGTTTGTACTAATTACAGTTTGATGTTTTTGTCTGAATCTGCAGTCTACTGATAAACTACAATAACTACTTCATGAGGCACAGTTATACCAAATAGTGGGAGTTAAGTTATGAAATGATATGACAGATACTAAAGAAGGATGGCTGGGGGAATGGAAAGTGAATTTTTTGGTCCAGAGCTCCCAGAATCCCCATCAGTATGGACATAGGCAAGCATGTCTATGCTGTCACTTGTTCATTATACATTTGTGAGGTCAAACTATTATTTAAATTATCTTATAGACAGCTCATTGACATGATGCATGAAAATAACTAGATGCTCTGAAAACCTACATGGTACAGCAAGACAGGGTGTGGCAAGAACCAAGCACCTTATGTGGGAATATGTGAATCTCAGCATTGTTCCTCAGTATAAGTTTCTAGCCAATACGATTAATACTGATATTTTTAGAAAAAGTGCTATTCTTAAGCCAACTTTCTTGATGAACACCTACTTGTCCAAAAAGAACAATTTTTCACCTTTTAAATTAAGTTTTAAAAGAGATTTGCTTTATAACAGCACTGCAAATCAGCTCGCTAAATGAAATGTACACTCAAACCACACCATCCTAGCTTAAAAATTCACTTACCTTCATCTCTCTTTCTATGATACTATCCTCAATAGAAAACATTTCGGATACCGGCCTCTCCTTCACTGGTTCTTTCTTGACTCTTTCCTTTACAATTGTGAGGTCTGGCTCAGAGATTGATGGGCCAAGCGAAGACCCATTGACCAAATTTTGATCAGTTCGAGATATGCTAATGGCCCTTGCAGGCCCTGGCCTCATAGGCCTGACTCTGGACACAGTCAGTGGAACGTTCACCTGGTCATTCCGCAGAGCTCCGTTGCTCATGCTCTTCCTTGGTCCAGGATACTCAGGAGGAGGTTTATGTAATATTCTAGTCAAGGCAGCTTGGAGCTGAGCACTATATTCCATGTTTTCATGAAGTGCAACCATAGGAGGCACAGATTCTGCAGCTTCTTCTTCCTCTTCACTTTCACTGCTATGGATTAGCATGGTGGCATCTGAGAAGGTCTTTTTGTGATGGTAGTGGGGAAGCTGCTGGACCTCATGACTCCGTTGAACTACTTCCTCTGGTTGCACCTGCTCACGCAAAGTATTCCTGCGTGGTAAAGGTGCATTTAGACTCTTTAAAGCCATGGCTTCCATATCACGGACCATGTTGCTTATAAACTCCAAACTGTGGCGCTTGTTGACACCTGTATGATGCTTGGTCGCCATGAGAGGCTCACTGACTTCCTGGAGAGATTGGTGGACAACTGGTGAGCTATCCTCTTGAAAGGTCTTCACTGAGAGTTGGACCTTCCGAGTGACCAGGTCTGGACTGCTACCACTAACATATTTGTGGCGGTGACTTGCTAAGTCAGGTGTGCTGGTAGCAGGGCGGGGACGTGGATACGGAGGTGGTGGCCTGAAAAGATAGTTCTTTAGAATATGCATTGTACCACATCTTTGATTATTGGGGAGCTGCATGTTGGCTAGCTCTGGTGTGCTCACAGTGTGGGAAATAGCAGTTGCTGCTGTTTTTGTCTGTGCTGCACTGATGGGATTTACTTGCTCAGATGGAGCAATGTGTGTTTTGTAAGTGCCCTGAGGCCCGTAAGGAATGACATAAGGAGCTCTCTCCCGAATCTCTGGTTGGCTGTATACAAGGTCTTTGGGTTGGTTGTAAGCATGAGTGTTCCCAATATTAAGATTTCTTAAAGATTGGCTTTGGCTGTCCGTGTGAATTACCCCTCTCTTCATTTGCCTCATTACAGTTTCATAGTCTGGTGTTGGCCGATAGGAAGGGACGATGATTGCACTATGTCTATGGCTTGGGATGTAGTCTGCTCTCATAATGTCACTTCCAGGGATGCTAAGGTTGGAGGACATTGGAGAAGCTTGGATAAAGTTTTGTGAGTGGTTGAGAGAGTTCATACTCTGAGCACTGCATACGCTTCCATTTGGCACATTGCCATTCAAGTAGCTGAAGTCCATTGCACACCTATCCAAACTAGTCTGAGATCGACAGTAAAACATTTCTTCATTTCCATGATAAATGCTGTCTGTGGACAAGCAAGAAACCAATGGAAAACATAATGAACAAACAGACAAATAGAATGAATAAGAAAGAAGATAGAAACATTATGATATATGCACTTTACTCACTAGCTCTATCCTCTTGTTGTGGCACCAGTCTACCCACCCACGATGAGACATTCAATTTTACTATTGGCTGTTGGCTCTGATTTTTTTAATATATATATTGTTTAATGTTGTTTTTATCTTGTTATATTGCTTTTTGTTATTATTCTGTTGAAATGCTTTTAATGGTGCTGCTGGGCTTGGCCCTATGTAAGCAGCCTCGAGTCCCTTTGGGGAGATGAAGATGGAGTATACAAATAAAGTTGTTGTTGTTATTATTATTATTATTGTTATTGTACCATCTTTTGATTTTTAAGGTTCTCCTGGCATAGACTAAGGTTTTTAAGATATTTAACATTCCCCTGGCACATCTACGCAGAAAATGGGATGGTTACATTTTTTATAAGGTACAATGCTTACCTTGACCTGTGGATAAGTCAAACAGGTTTTTAACTTTGATTTTAGACTAAAATTTCCAGACTTATACATGCGCATATATAGTATATACAAAGCATTTTATTAATATTATTACATACCTTGTGAATTGTGAGTTTCAGTGTAATGTTCTCCACACTGGATGTGGATAGGAGGCATAATAAATGGCTGCTGCCTTGGCTAAAAGGTAATAAGAGAAACACAGTTTGGCATATATTACTCCTAATTTAGAAGCATTTTTATCATCTTTCCACAGCTACAGCTAGGGAAAAAGATATACCTCCCTTCTTCAATGTTTTGAACATAAGTTTTTTTTTCTAGCAAATTCATAACTTGTTATTATGGTTTTTTTTTCATTTATATCCTGTCTTTCTCATAATATGAGATCCAATGAGGACTAAAGAAAAAAAAGAATTAAAACAATCTATATTGTGCCATACATTTTTGAAAATATTATAATTAATTAAAAACAAAAAGTCTAGCAAATTCTATTAAAAAGCTCAAGTACCACCTTTTCTGCCACAACCAATTAAAAGTCAAAAGACTGGCCTAAGTAGAAAGGTCTTTCCCTGCAAAAAGAGAGCAGAGAAGGAGCCAGTTAAGTTTCCTATGGAAGGGAATTTCAGTTTGGAAGCAGCCATTGAGAAGGCTTTCTCCTGTGTCCTCCCAAAAACACGCCTGTCTCAAAGAAAACTTCTCCTGAAAATTTTAACACCTGGCAGATTCATATGGGAGGGAGGAGGATGCCTCCTGAATACATGAATCCAGGCAATATAGGGCTTTTGTTAATCAAAACCAGCACAGACTTACCAAGGATGATTTGCTCCAGGTGGGTCGCCGTCTAATAGGAGGAGGAGAATTTGATTGTCTGTTAGGGAAAAAAATGAGAGATTCTTAATCATTCTGTAAAATTTATACTCTTATTCAAGGAACACAAAATGGATGCTGTATACCTTCAATTATCTACTTTGTAACTGCTATCAAAAACAAAACTAAATAATTAGAAAGGATTCAAATCTCCTTCGTTTATAAAAATATTAAAATTCTGTAATCATCATGCTTTTTTTCAAAATTATGGTAGCCTGAAAATGCAAGAAGGCAGAGGAAGGGAACTGAGAACTGCAGAAGTATCAAGGTGGTTAAACCTATTGCTCACCTGAATGTATGGACTATAGCTCCTGTCATCCAACACAGTCCTTGGCAGGATGACAGGAGTAAATAGTCTAAAACATATGGAGGATACCAGAATGGAGATGACTGGCTTACACAGGGAAGCAAGAATAGTAAGAGACAGCATTAGCAAGTCACCAACAAGGCAATGCACAGAAACCAAATAAAAAAGCAGCCAAAAGATGAAGGAAAATGCTGGTCTTTATGTTTTAGAATAGTAAGATGCAATGTGGTCACACATAAGGAGAAATAGACAAAAGTGAAGAAGTGGGAAAATACACACACATTCACAGGACACAGCAGGGGTAAGGTCCTTACGTGTAGAGAGGAAAGGTAGAATTTGTCCTCTTACAGTTTCTGATCTGGTGAATGATGTGATGTGCAATTAGAAAACACATGTTAAAAATGAAATGAGAATAGCAGGGCCATTTTCAAAGTCACAAGCCAGGACAGATCTGCAGGTGGAAATGAGAGACCTTGCAAATTCCTCAGTGGTACCATCCTGGTAGTATTAAATTGATATTTTTTTCTCTGGCTAGACATTCAACAATACCAAAAATGCAATGAATAACAAGCAATAAATAAAAGATACTGAAAAATGCAACCCAACAACCCAACAATTAATAGGAGACCGATGTCCTCACTGTGGGAGAACATGAGGATCAAGAATAGCCACCTATGGACCCACCGCCAAGACACTACACTTGGAGGACCATCATCCTCCGACTCCGAGGCATTGCCTGAGTAAACTTGAATCAGAAAATGACCCAGGAATGGCTAAGCACGACGGAACAGATGAGAATCAAACATGATGACATAGTTTTAAAATTTTTATTGTTCACCGTTTTTATGCTCTTAGATATATTGTGATGCTTTTCTTTGTTTTTATTGATGTATGTATTTTTATATGGCATTGAATTGTGCCGACTTGTTCGCCACCCTGAGTCACCTTCAGGCTGATATGGGTGGGATAGAAATGGAGTAAATAAATAAATAAATAAATAATAAGAATACAGTTGGCCCTTCACACTTGTGGGTTTGACATTTGTAGATCTGATTAATCATGAGTTTGATTCAAATGTTCTTTTTCAGAATCTCTAGTGTAACTTCCACTAGAGTCTCACTGGAGGACCTGGGCATTCCTACAGGGAATACTTCTCTAAGAATCTCTACGTTCTTGAGTATGACAATTTGGTTAACTTACAGCAGAAGCTGACAACAGAGTCATGCTAGAGGACTTAGAAATTCTAGAGAAGTGTTCTCTCGAGTAAAACAAATAGCAATTTTTAATTTGTGGTTTTTCCCTTTTGTGGGAAACTTGTGTTCCTAACCCTAGTGAATGTAGAGCAAACCCAGTTCAACTATTACAAAATACAGTAGTTACTAGCTCTCCAAATAACAAATCCCATCATGTTTTCATCTATCATCTAAAATTGTATTAAGGACAAGTAATTCACTATCTGGGGTTCTACTACTAATAGAGTCCTAGATCTGATGCTTAGAACTAGACTTCAGATGGCTGGAGCACATGATAGCTTGGTATTTATTTATTTACTTCATTTATACCCTGCCTTTCTCCCCCTCAGCGGACTCAAGGCAATTTACAACACTGGTACAAACTCCTGACTATGAATATTCAGTGACTTTGGAGCTCCACTTTCCACAACCCCCCCCCCCCAAAAAAAACACACATTGTTTTGTCTCCCTATGCCATTGCAGGGGCCTTTCCCCCAGCTTTTAGGGACTCAGATCTTGTTTGCTATGTACTAATCTTGTTGTGTATCTAATAATAATAATCATCATCATCATCATCATTGACAAACTCACGATCTGTCAACTGCAAAAGGCCACATTACTTGGAACTGTGCGCATCATTCGAAAATACATCACACAGTCTTAGATACCTGGGAAGTGTTTGACTTGTGATTTTTTGATACAAAATCCAGCATATAGATCTTGTTTGCTGTTACATACTGTGCTTTTGTGTAAGTAAAATAATAATAATAATAATAATAATAATAATAATTCCTCCTCTTCTTCTCCAATCTTTCTCCAATTATCTCAAGGTGCTGTACACAGATCTATAATTCCCCACTTATCTTCACAATAATTCTGAGAAGTCAGACTGAGAGAAAGTAACTTCTCCAAGATCACCCAATTTCAAGACTACATGAGGACCTGCACTCAAATTACCTAAATCCCAGATCACCAGTACCACCTACACAAAAGCTGAGAAAGAGGGCATGATATCTGGGATGTGCAGTTGGAGCTAAACTGGGACACAAACAGAATCAGACTGAGCCCCAGAGGACAGAGAGTTTTATTCGAGCAGCCAACCATATGAATTATCTGTATGGAATATCAATGCTGGGGCAGATTAAAATCAACCTTGTAAGTTAAGAGGTCCTCAGCTAATAAACTCTTAATACTTAAGTCAGCTCAACTACACTGCTGTGTCCTCAGCTTTTCCCTCAGTTATGCAAGCTCAACAGATGGCAACACTGATAAAGCAGATGCGGATGTTCAGTTTGTAAGTGGGGCATCAAGGTCATTGAGGGTTTCCTCTCAGCTGCTCCGTTAACTAATTAAATGCTAGAATATTGCTTGATATACTGTAACAAAAGGGATTTGCCTTTTGTGGAACAATAACTGGAGAGATGCTGAATGGCTCAAATGGTGTCTATCAGCTCAGAAGTAAGCCCAACTGAGTTCAATGTGACTTAGGCCCATGTAAAAGCATAAGATTGCACTTTTAATCAAGCTGTGACTAGCAGAAAATTACTTATATCTAATAAGGGACCCATGGCCCACCAGATATTGAATTACATTTCTCATCATCCCTGGGCTGTGTGGCTAATAATGGTAGGAATTGAGAGACCGAGGGCCACTCCACACAGCTCTATATCCCAGAATATCAAAGCAGGAAATTCCACATTATCTGAGTGTGGACTCATATAACCCAGTTCAAAGCAGATATTGTTGATTTTCTGCCTTGACATTCTGGGATACAGGGTTGTGTGGAAGGCCCTGAGAATATCTGAAAAGCCACAGGTTCCTCCCTCCTGATGTAAGGCATATTTTACTATTTTCTCCTTTCAATCCATTTGTTCATTCAGAGACAGAGAAACAAACAGAAAGGCAACTAAGAGAGAAATATGGAGGGCCATTCCACACAGCTCTATATCCCAGAATATCAAGGCAGAAAAGCCCACATTATCTGAGTGTGGACTCAGATAACCCAGTTCAAAGCAGATATTGTGGGATTTTCTGCCCTGATATTCTGGAATATAGGGCTGTGTGGGAGGGCCCCTAGATAGCGAGACAGGGCCCTTCTATACTACCATATAATCCAGAATATCAAATCAGATAATCCACATTATCTGCTTTGAACTTGATTATCTGAGTCTAAACTGTCAAATAATCCAGATCAAAGCAGATAATCTGGATTCCATGCAGCTGTGTAGAAGGGGCCAGAGATAGATTTCGTATTATTTTCTGGAAAATCCTTTTAGTCCTTGTTAGCACTTTTTCCTTCAATAACAAGTCAACAACTCAAGAGCATGTTCCTGAGAGCATAATGTGTAAAATAATGTTTGGGTATGATCTAGATTATGGCACATCTGGGATGAACGTAAGGATTTATCACACTCTGGAAATCTCTCCAGATTCCTAGACAACAGTAATATGAAGTACAATTCATGAGCATAGAAGGTTTAAAAACTAGAGAGAGCAGAGCAGGCATCACTTCTCATTAAAGCCAAGATGTTTATTGTACCTCAATGAAAACATAAGAATGCTCAGTAAAGTGGATGGCAATAGGAAAAGAGGAAGACCACATTACAATAGATTACTTCAATCAATAAAATCCCATCCCTGAGTTTCTATCTATACAGGAAACTGATAGAGAACAAGCCATAGAAATACACAATAAAAGACCAAATAGAAATGACACTGCCTTATATTCAACACAGCAAACCATAATTTGTGTAGATATATACTCACTCTGTGCAGATTTTGTTTTGCTTGTAAAACTTGTGTTTTGCTGCAAACAGCCGTGAAATATACTTGGCATTTTCAATGTCATCCTTGAAAAGCAGAAAGTTGAGAGAGAGCACAGAACATTAAGAGGAGAAACACATTTAATTATATCATGATTTATATAGCAAAGAGTTACATAACAGTGACCATGTTCTTCTAAAAAATTAATTAGAAATAATGCTATGCTCAGAATGATAAATGCAAAAAGTCAGTCACTAGACTCTAAATTGTGGCACTGTGGAGATGCTATTGCAAACTTGTAACACCACCTGGACTCAGTGAGTGATCTGATATGTAAATCATGCTAATATATTGTTAAACCTAAGAAGGTAAAGACTGTTGTTATTTTATTCATTTATATCATTTATAGATTTTTAAAATAATTACAAATGAAAACATACAAAAGCATTTCTCTGTTTATATTTCTTATGTGTTATGTTACAAATGATTGAACACCCACAGAGTTAAAAGTACTGTATTAAAAATTTTAAAAGACACAATATAAAAAGTTAACTATCATACCATTACAAGCACATCAAAGTCACTTGTAAAACATGTTGGAATAGGAACCTTTCCAGTTATCCACAGTTGGAAAGCAAGGAGAGACCCATTCTTGCCCCACTAAAGTCTGGGAACAGTCACTAGATAGGTCTTCTCCACTGTTCCACAAAACATGCTTTGGATGGTAGTGGGACAGACAAAAGGCATCTCTCAAATATCTTAGAGCTCAAAGAGGCTCGTACAGGAAGATATGGTTATTCAATAGCCTGTGCCCCAACCATGCAGGACAATAGTTCTCAACCTGTGGGTCCCCAGGTGTTTTGACCTACAACTCCCAGAAATCCAAGCCAGTTTACCAGCTGTTAGGATTTCTGGGACTTGAAGGCCAAAATACCTGGGACCCACAGGTTGAGAACCACTGATGTAGGGCTTATCAGTCAAAATCAGTTCTTTAAATTGCGCTTGGAAGCAGTGAAGTTGTTGCAATAAGAAGATTGTATGCTCACTGTGTGCAGCTTAATTTATTAATCTGGCTGCAGCACTTCAGGCAGTTTCTGAGCATTTTTCATTTGTAGTCCCACATAGATTGAGATACCATTAATCAAAATGGGATATAACCAAGGCATGTGCTCCCGGATCAGACATCTCCAGAAACGGGTACAACTGGTGCACTACTTTTACTTGTGCAAATGGCAAACCTATGCCTAAAGGCTTGCTGGCTGCTCTCCTGAAGTAGAAAGTGATGCATTCTGGAACCAGGCTGGGGAAATAGCAAGCTTGAAAGAACAGTAACAGCTATGACAATTTAGCAGCAGAGAAATAACTGGAATGTAACTCTCCAGAGCCTGCCAGGCTGCCAACACCTGGTTCTGAGGAAAGATGCCTCAGATTAAGGCATCTTTCCTCAGGACAAGATGAAAGTGACAGTGTAGGGGCAGTGCTGTAAGAGTGGTGGATCTCAAGTGGTGAGACACTTTTCACCTCCCATGGATATTGGCTTTTTAATGCTTTGCTTACCGTATGAAAAAACACTGTTTCTTCCTTGTTGAGCAGTTCCACAGTGATTGAAGACTTGTTGTGCATTATATTGCCAATATCATTCCACCTATGGGGGGAAAAAACTTTTGCTAAATCTAGCCAAACATTGCAAAACAATGTTCTACTTGGCATTGGGAGCTTTTAAAAAGTATTTCTGCTCATGAAACTTCAGTATATTGGTGCTGTCGATTGTTTAGAATTTTTTACATGCTCCTCAAGGCAGAATTCTCTCCAGTCTGGAGGTTCTTCATTCAGCTGAAAGTGCAGCTGAAGAAAGGCAGAGGTTTCCCCTGACATTAAGTCTAGTTATGTCTGACTCTGGGGGTTGGTGCTCATCTCCATTTCTAAGCCAAAGAACCAGTATTGTCCATAGATGCCTCCAAAAGCATGTGGCCAGCAGGAATGTATGAAGCGCCATTACCTTTCCAAAGAAGCATACCTAATGATCTACTCACATTTGCATGTTTTTGAACTGCTAGGTTAGCAGAAGCTGGGCCTAACAGGGGGAGTTCACCCCGCTCTACAGATTCGAACTGCCAACCTTTTGGTCAGCAAGTTCAGCAGCTCAGCAGTTTAACCTGCTGCGTCACCAGGGGGGCCTTCGAAAGTGCAGTTACAACTATTTTAATAATAAATGAACAACCAATGTTGCTGTGCTTGTTTCATTGCAAAGAGAAACATTAAGTGGCCATCCCTAGGCATCTAGCTTATGCAGACATTAGGCCCTCCACTTTTGAAGGGGTAAGGAATGTAGACTTCCTGTGAAAGTGGAAGAAATGCAAATAAGAACACTTTTTTATCCCTAGACAACACTTATCTAGATATCTGTTTGTCCTCCAAACTCTATGCCCAATCTCTCCAGAATGTTGACCACCAAGTTATCTTAGAAAACCTAGCAACTCCTACAAAGAACATACCAACCAAATTCATGAATAATCATATTTGCAAAAGTTAAACCTGCAAACCTGGATGACTGAGTGCATGAAGATGGGTGGGTTTACTGAAAGCACAGGGAAAACACAAAAGGTAAGGAAAGCAAAATCAATGTTGACCTACTTTGTTTCACATCAAGGAAACTGCTTCTGATAGAAAAAATTACATAATCTTTCAATTGGTAAAAAAATTCTGATACGGAAATTAAAATATTCACAATATTATGTTGATTGCATCTGACTTTGTTTCTTTTATATCCCACCTTTTCCCCCAACAAGGGACCCACTTGCTAGAGATAGCCCTATGTTCAGCGGACTGCAGAAGTCCAACCATGAGCAAAATCTGCATATCATTTCTCTTACATTGAGTTTGATATGAGTAGAAATCTGTGAGTGATTAGAAAGTTAACCTTCTCATATGGGTCTTCCACTGGAATCAATGAAAATGCAGATAAATTAATATTAAAGTTTCCTGATTTTACCTGTAGATCATTGTGGTCCTTCCCATTCGGTTTTTCACAAAAATTCCCATACAAAAGATTCCAAGATGAATGTCATTTCCTTGATTGTCCTGTATAAAGAAAATAATATGAATGATCAAAAGCTTAATTCTACCAGAATTATGTAAAGAGATAATAATCATGCAAAGATAGCAAAGTCAGTGTGTTAGCGTATTAACAAGTGTCTCAAGACACCCTACGTACAAAAGTAGCATCAACTGTGAGATCTTTGCTCCTCTCCAAAGGACCAGAGCATCCTCAAATAAATACCGCAAATAAGTACATTTCAAGTACTTTTTATAACACAAAGTACATTTTATAACACAAAACTAACATAAGGAAAGCAAGATCATGGAAGAAATTGTTGATAACAAGCACACTGATTCCTAGAAGCTGCAATTGTCATGATTCCTCCTCCTTTTTTCATTAGAATGTTGCAGACCTTAGAAGGTTCATGCAAACACATGCCATGGAAGGTGTCTGAAATTATATTAAGCATTATTTTTGTCTATGTGTCACATGTGCTTATAGATGTTTTTACAGCTTTCTGATTTTATCCATATAAAGAAATGTCTTTTTCAATAATCTGTAGAGGTGACGTCCAACTCTATCACTCCTTTCCATCTACTGCTAAGGAGGGTATTCAGGTCCTGAACTGGTGCTTGACAGCAGAAATGATTTGGATGATGGCCAACAAATTGAAATTGAATCCAGACAAGACGGAAGTACTCCTGGTTAGTCGTAAGGCTGAACAGAGTATAGGGTTACAGCCTGTGTTGGACAGGGTTACACTCCCCCTGAAGACACAAGTTCACAACTTGGGAGCGATCCTGGACTCATCGCTGAGCTTGGAACCTCAGGTTTCAGCAGAGGCTGAGGGAGCTTTCACACAATTAAAACTTGTGGGCCAGTTGCAACCATATCTTGGGAAGTCAGACTTGGCCATGGTGGTCCATGCTCTTGTTACATCTCATATAGACTACTACAACGCACTCTACATGGTGTTGCCTTTGAAGATGGCCGGGAAGCTTTAATTAGGTGGCAGCCAGATTCCTAACTGGGGCGGCGTACGCCTCTGTTATGTCAGCTCCACTAGCTGCTAGTCTGCTCCAAGTCCAATTCAAAGTGCTGGTCTTGGCCTATAAAGCCCTATACGGTTCTGGTCCAACTTACCTGTCCGAACAAATCTCCCTCTATGAGTACACAAGAGCTTTAAGATGGGCTGGGGAGGCCCTGCTCTCCGTCCCAACCTCTTAGCAAGTGGGACTGGTGGGGATGAGAGACAGGACCTTCTCAGTTGTGGCCCCTCAGCTGTGGAACTCCCTTGCCAGTGACATCAAGAAGGCCCCACCCCTCCTGGCTTTTAGGGAAAAAACTTAAGACCTGGTTTTTTACAGAGTCATTTGGTGAATAGGAAACTACAGAATGAGACTTCAACGGCTTGAATAATGGACTATGGATTTGGAAAATGATTTGGACATGAGAACATGACTCAGTATTTCATATGGTTTTAATCTGTTTGATTGATTGATATGTGTTTTAATGGCTTATATATTTAGATTGCTTATATTTTGATGGGATGTGTTTTATTGTTTACCTGTGTGACATTGGATTTTTCCCATATTTGTAAGCCACCTTGAATCCCCTTCAGGGTCGAGAAAGGCGGGGTAGAAATGACATAAATAAATAATAAATAAATAATATGCATCCTTTACTGCTTTTAGAAATGGGATGGTGAGGTATGGAGAATCAGTTACTGAGAATCTTAACTTCAAAGAACTGCTTAGCCCAGTTTATGCTACTGGATCCACTCTTAAATCAGTAGTTTAAATCATTGCTTTGCAGAAATTCAGGAGTAGAATCGAAATAAATAATCAACTGGGTAGCATAATTTTTGCTGGCACAATCTCTCATTTAATTCATAAGTAACATAATTAATAACTTAATTATGCAGAAATGTTTATGCGAAAATTGTAACACAAGTCAACAGTTTTAATTTTTAAAATGTAATTAAGTTGGTCCTTTTCACTGCCAAATTTCTGTCATATTTTATAACTCAATTGCTTTTAATTAGCAGGTTCCTTTCAATGTAATTATGATATTTAATTATACAATTAAAGCAACAACAGCAACAACAAAAATCATATTTAGATTCTGCTTGACTTAGATAATTCTGGTTAGATTTGGTCAAACTCCTCATGAAAATATCTGCAATACTGATATAATAAACTGGCTCTATGTTTTGTTAAAATCAAACTCACAAGTTAAGCCTTTAAGAGGCCTGTTCAAACTACACATTGATACTGTCATTATTCCTTTTAAACCACTATGGCGGCATTCTATGAAAACCTAGTCTTTGAGATTTGTCATTTAGGGAATTATACTTAGAATTATCAATTAGTGAACTCCAGTGCCTCACCAAACTACACATTTCAGCATAATATAAGATGTTGCCATTGCAGTTAAAGAGGTTACACCATGCTATAACATGCAATGTAAAAAAGATCTATAGTGTAATGTCATCAGCCAAAATAGCTTAGAACCAATTTAAAAACAATTTAATCTTAAGGCATTACCCAAAGCAAAAATCCAAAATCAAGTTAGTCATGAGAGAGCAAAGCATAGTCCTCAAATGGTAAACTCAAACTTCCATGAGCCCTAGCCAGCATAGGTAAATATCAGAAGAGTGGGAGTTGTAGCTCTATAACAGGGGTGCTCAAACTATGGCCCGGGGTCCAGATACAGCTCTCTGGCCCTCGCTCAGGGTCAACCTAAGTCTGAAACTACTTGAAAGCACACAACAAAAACAAAAACAACAATCCTATCTCATCAGCCAAAAGCAGGCACACACTTCCCATTGAAATACTAATAAGTTATGTGCAGTGTGCATTGGAATTCATTCATGCTTTTTTCAAATTATAATCCAGCCCTCCAACACTTTGAGGGACTGTGACCTGGTCCTCTGTTTAAAAAGTCTGAGGACCCCTGCTCTATAACATTTGGATAGCCACATATTCTTTGTCTTTGTTGTAAAAGCAGAACCAAGTTATGATCACTGAGACCCAGAAACCTAGCTATAGTTCCTATATTGGGAGAGAGTTGGGGCAAAAATAAATAAATAAATAAATAAATAAATAAATAAATAAATAAATATTTTTAAAAGAAGAGTTGTGTCTTGACTCTACAATGAGATGTACTCTATAACTATGGTGTTAAGCGAAGAAGAATCTTGCTCCCACAGTCCCATAGGATGAGGTAATACTGCACTCTAGTTGAGAATAAAGCTCCATTAACATACCATGTTCAAGCTTTTGATAGTAAAGTCTACTCCTTTTGTTCCAAAAGGCACAATGGTGATTGTTGGAGTTCTGGGGGTGGAGTTGCCTTCTAGTGCTGTTCTAAAACCTGGAAAATACATTACTTGATACCTTCTTATGCAGTGGTGAACATACTTGAGTAATACTCCAGTATGCATGATTAAGAGTAATGAAGGTATAATATATATAGTAGAGTCATAGAATCATAGAACCACATATTATGTGTGGGATCCATCTGGTACCCAATGCATAATATGACTTTTGGTGTAATCTGGAACTCTTTTTTTCCCCCTACTTGAAATGAACAACATCTTCTTCATTTGTGCTTTTGGTGAAAGCATATTACAAAATCTCCCTGGAAGACCTAGTGATGCCTAGAGAAGTGTTTTATTCCAGGCATCCAGTGCAAATCTATGGTAAACTTCCTGCAGAACCTTACATATAAATGAAACCACTTTCATAATAAGTGAGCCTACTGAACTCCCAATAGTGGGAATTTTCAATATTTTGTCTTGGATATACAGCTATGATGCCTCAGATATAATATTCGTACAAACTTTAGAAAGGATATACAGCAGTGGTTCTCAACTTGTGGGTCCCCAGATATTGGCTTTCAGCTCCCAGAAATCCTAACAGCTGGTAAACTGACTGGGATTTCTGGGAGTTGTAGGCCAAAACACCTGGGGACCCACAGGTTGAGAATCACTGATATACAATATCATCAAGGCCGAGGCAAAGCAACACTTAAACTTCTCAATGTTCTTCTCTGCCTAACACAACATGCCGGATTAATTTTTACACCTACAATCAGCACTTCCTCTACTAATGTAAACATGCGTTGGTGCTTGCCAAAAGGTATAAATGGGAATCAGGATAAAAAGCCTTTGTAACAATGATCACTTTGGTACATTACAGACCTTCAAATATGGTATAAACTTTTGATTTCTCCCTGTTGAAAGGCTGGACACAGAAAAACACATGCCTTCCCATAAAGAAAAGTCATTCACTTTGATGCGGACTGTCACAAGATAGAGAAAGCAGAAGCTAGCCAAAATTTTATATTTCCTTCTGTCCCCCTGTCCCTTTAGGCAAATTTGAGAGTTTTCCTGCTTCAGCTGCAGCAGAGACAGGTTCTTGAGATCCTAAGCTGGGACATGCCTCAGGGTACAAATGGAATTGCTCATGGCACATAAAGCTGTAGAACAGCTCGACATTCAGTACACAGATGGGAGGTGGGGGCAAAGGGACTTTTTACAGCTGAAAGCACAATATTTTGTGCTATTCTGCAGGTTAGAATATATCACTACTGCCTGTTGTTGTTCATTCGTTCAGTCGTCTCCGACTCTTCGTGACCTCATGGACCAGCCCACGCCAGAGCTCCCTGTCGGCCGTTACCACCCCCAGCTCCCTCAAGGTCAGTCCAGTCACTTCAAGGATGCCATCCATCCATCTTGCCCTTGGTCGGCCCCTCTTCCTTTTGCCTTCCACTTTCCCCAGCATAATTGTCTTCTCTAGGCTTTCCTGTCTCCTCATGATGTGGCCAAAGTACTTCAACTTTGTCTCTAGTATCTTTCCCTCCAGTGAGCAGTCGGGCTTTATTTCCTGGAGGATGGACTGGTTGGCCTACTACTGCCTACAGGGTCATTAATATGTGAATCATATGAGTCTGCCCCAGGAGAAAAAATGGATCCAGGTGGCTTTCTTATGGCCATTGAATAGGTTCCTGTTGTATTGACAGGTGATTGTGTCAAAAGCATTCCTTCCCACAAAGCAGAGCCAAGTAGGAGCTGTTGTAGCTGGATTGGATGACTACTAGAAGGGAGATGGCAGAAAACAAAAGACAGTTTTGACTAAATACAGGCAAGAACTCATTAGAACATTTACGCTTTCCTTTTTCTTTTCTTTTTCCCCTTGGAATAGCATGTGTGGCCTCACAGATCCATGGGATTCTGGATGAAACTGGTTTTACATAATAACAGCTTTAGCTCTATGTATTGTCGAAGGCTTTCATGGCCAGAATCACTGGGTTGTTGTAGGTTTTTCGGGCTGTATGGCCATGTTCTAGAAGCATTCTCTCCTGATGTTTTGCCTGCATCTATGGCAGGCATCCTCTGACCTCACAACCTCTGAGGATGACTGCCATAGATTCAGGTGAAACGTCAGGAGAGACTGCTTCTAGAACATAGCCATATAGCCCGAAAAACCTACAACAACTCAGCTTTAGCTCTCTTGCTGGAAAACCAACATTCAGAACTGTACAGGGAAGTGTGTCCCTGTTGGCTCTGCTGGACCCCATCAATATGGATGGGTCACCTTTCTTGGACAGCACTTGTGGACACTGTTTGGGGATTTGCCATCACTAACATACTTATTAAAGCTTTTTCTCTCTTTTCCATTTAACTTCAAGGAAGTAGCTTAAGTGCAAAACAAGATCTGCCAGGATGATTTGAAACATAATCAACACAAAAATTGACTCTTGGTCAATTGAAGAACAGATCAGGGAATTCAGCCTGTGTTGGGATGGGAAGCCAAGTGTTCAGCATAGGAGTACTTCTGGACTCAGCTTTGAGCACAAGCATGATATGAAAACAGTTAAAATTGTCCATTGCCAATCCTCAACACAATACCTCCAGGTAGAAGAATTTATATTTCAACATAGAGGCAAACTGCTAAAACTGGTTGCACCAGGGTCTTACACAGAGAATCCTAATACATAAAGGATAAAAATATTTCCCTCCTCCTAATGTTCTTTTGTTAATGATAATAGCATTGCCATCTAGTGTTATCAAGTTGACATGGGGTAATACTCTGCGAACAAACTGAAATTAAATCCAGACAAGACAGAGGTACTCCTGGTCAGTCGCAAGGCCGAACAGGGTATAGGGTTACAGCCTGTGCTGGACGGGGTCGCACTCCCCTTGAAGGCGCAGGTTCGCAGCTTGGGGGTGACCCTGGATTCATCGCTGAGCCTGGAGCCTCAGGTTTCAGCGGTGACCAGGGGAGCATTCGCACAGCTTAGGCTTGTGCGCCAGCTGCGCCCGTATCTTGGGAAGTCTGACTTGGCCACGGTGGTACACGCTTTGGTCACATCCCGCCTCGACTACTGCAACGCTCTCTACGTGGGGCTGCCCTTGAAGACGGCCCGGAAGCTACAGCTAGTCCAACGCGCGGCAGCCATGGTGTTAACGGGAGCAGGACGCAGAGAGCACACAACGCCCCTGCTGTCCCAGCTCCACTGGCTGCCGATTCGCTACCGGGCCCAATTTAAGGTGCTGGTATTATCCTACAAAGCCCTAAACGGTTCCGGCCCAAAATACCTTGCAGACCGCATCTCGGCCTACGAGCCCACGAGGGCCTTGAGATCATCCGGGGAGGCCCTTCTCTCGGTCCCGCCTGCCTCGCAGGCACGTCTGGCGGGGACGAGAGAGCGGGCCTTCTCGGTGGTGGCCCCCCGGCTGTGGAACACCCTCCCTGCTGAAGTTAGACAGGCGCCCTCCTTGTTGGCCTTTCGGAGAGGCCTGAAAACATGGCTCTTCGAGCAGGCCTTCAACTGAGAGTACGTGGAACGACACTGGAATGGACTAGGATTATGAAATTGGCTATGACCCCAGGACTTGACGAAGCGGATTTTAGTATAAGTATATGTTATGTTGTATTGTCTGGTTTGTATTGTCTAGTTTTATTGTACACTGTTCTTTCTGTTGTTGTTCACCGCCCCGAGTCGCCTTCGGGCTGAGAGGGGCGGTCAATAAATGCAAATAATAAATAAATAAATAAATAAATACTAATGCAGACATTACTAAGACTGGTGAATTATGTTTCGGCAGCCCTGCACTAATGATAAATGTCTTTGCTGGGGGGAGAAAAATCACAGCTTCTAGTGTAGCACCTTACCTTCACAGGGAAAGTTTCCTGCCCAAACCCATCTAATCGTTCCACTTCACTTATGTATTGAAGTTCCGCTTTTGCAGCAGACATCCCACTGTGAATGAAGAAAACAGAAACATGGCTCAACATTATAGATGACTAAAGATTCTAGTCTGATTTGCTGGTTTGGCGTTCTCTTTAGATCATTCTCTCTGGATCATTGGGCAAAATGGATCAGAAGCACCTATCTGCCCTGCACCCATCCCAATGTTTCACTCCATAGTGCATTTGGGGGCATTCTGGGAGTATTATTACAAAAAATCCCTCATTTTTGGCCCTGGGGAATCTGGATATAAAAATGGCCCTAGGAGCTGCATGTGGCCTATGAGCACACTGTGCCCATCCCTTACCAAGGTGATTCACTTCATCCAGAAACTCCTAGTTCTAGGAGCCCCACATACATATTTCAGTCCCTCATCCAAATACGTAATGTTGGAAACTAGCTAAATTGTCTAATAGGGAGGGCTTTTTCAAAATAGTGTCATAACTGCCCCATGTAGGCAAGCCTGAAATTTTCAGTGTATTGTTGACAACTTTCATGGCCAGGATCACTGGGTTGTTGTAGGTTTTTTGGGCTGTATGGCCATGTTCTAGAACCATTTTCTCCTGAATGGTTTTGCCTGAATCTATGGCAGGCTTCCATAGATGACAAAAAGGCTCAGGCTGTTAAAATTGTCAGGTTTTACAATGTATTGTAATGTAATATAGCTGAGTCATGCACTGCTAATGGGCTTCTATCGGAAATGCTGAGTCATGCATTAACTGTATATAGAACTTCATTTGGGGAATGTGTTCTGGCCTACTCCAGGTGATTGTGAATGATGTAATCCTGGCTCTGAGTTGAGTTAATGAGTTGGGAGCCAATAAGGGATTTCTATGTGTAATTGTATAGAATTGTATATAAGGAAGTCATGTACAGTGTATATTTCTCCTTGTGCTGTGATGTTGTTCGTTGAAGGCTATATGTAATTAAAAGAACCTGTCTGCTAAGACAAGATATAACTGTGTGCTGTGGTAAGTCTGTAATATTATCTAGACTGGGGGAAAGACAATGGTAAAACTGACAATGGCCGGGCATGTGCTCAAGTGTCTGTAAAAGGTTCCAGCCTGGCTGCAGGCTGTGGGAGCAGTTGACTGAAAATACTGTGCAGCAAGAAGCTACTGGAAAGTGCTGAAGTTGTGCAACTGATCTGCTGCTGAATTGTAAAGTTAATCTCAACATTAAATGCTACTGTTTATCACTGAACAAGGATGGAACAACATAACATTAACTGCACTTTTCTTATCCCTATAATAAGGGATAAAGTGAATAATAGAATCATAGAATAATAGTGTTGGAAGAGACCATGTGGATTATCTACTCCAATCCCCTGCCATGCAGAAAAAGCACAATCAAAACATCCCTGACAGATGGCCACACAGCCTCTATTTAAAAGCTTCCACATAATAATTACACGTGATACCCATATTTTGGTAATTATCTGTGTATCGATATATTTATGACTCACCAATTGTTTTTGTGCTCGTGGGCTACTTTTTGTGTCAGTTCCTCGAGGACTGCTTCATCTTGGGTCAAATCCTACAGAAAAGAACAATGAACTGTTTGTAATAAGAGGAGGACATACAGAGAATTACATTTTCACTTCCAGTGCTTTGAGTTTTGTGGTTAATATTGGACTTTGCACCTGAGTTTGGTGGGGATAGTTGCAGCAAATCTAATTGTTGGATACCAAGTACATTCCATGAAGCAAATATGGTTTTGTTCCCATCCCCTTCCAAAAAAAATCATCTTAGGAAAGAAAAACTATCGATTATCAGAAACTTTATCAACTCTAAACAAAATTATCTTATTAATAGTATTGCTCAGGTTGAGCATCCCTTATCTGAAATGTTTGGGATCAGAATTGTTTTGAATTTTAATAATAATAATAATAATAATAATAATAATAATAATAATAATACGAATAACTTTATTTGTACCCCACCACCATCTCCCCGAAGGGACTCAGGGCGGCTAACATGGGGCCATGCCCAAGCAATTACAATAAGGCAATATAAAATACAGATAAGACAGATGATAACATCAAATAAAAATACTATACAATAATATGATAATGCAGTAAAATAGTGACAATAATATAATAAAACAGAGTTTTACATTTTTCGGATTCTGGAATAACTGTATTTGCATATACACACACAATTAATAAACTAAAATGTTTAACTATATAAATTGTTTTAAAAAGTAATTTAGAGTTTTTATTGAAAGTTAAGTATACTTTCTCAAATCAGTACTGCTTATAAATGTGTTGTTAGTAGCCATGAATCTTGGCTTATTGTAATTGCTTGGCCTTGACCCCAGCCTTGAGAGAAAGGCAGGATATAACATTGATGACGACATATAAGGAACAGTTTGAGGTTAGTAGAAGAAAGATTCCAAAATCCTCACACTGCTGAATTGTCCTCTACTACTTGCTTTCTATTCATTTTAATTTAGGTCTCAGTCTAGCTTCTAGACTCAATCAGATACACTGATTCAACTGCTGAATGGTAAGTTAACACTCATGCAAGTCTCACTAATTCGGTTTATCTCTTGTTGTGTGCGCCAAAGTTTTAGCTAATCATACGGTTCAAAATGAGAAATAACACATACATGTATTATTCCGCTACCCGGGTACCATGAGACAGGGAAGGGCAGACAGATTAATTTGGAACCTTTCAAAGTATGCAAACTTCTTTTCGTGAGTCTGACCATTCGCCCATCTAGCCCAGTACTGTCAATTCAGACTGTCAGTAGTTCTCCAAAGCCTTGAGACAGGATGCCTTCCTAGTTCTACCACAAGATTCCTGGTGATCTCCTATCCAACACAGCTTTCCTTCCAAAATCAGATGATTTTCTGTGTTTTTGGGGATGTTGCGGTGCAAAGAAATCTTTTAAAACAATCCATTACAATAGTACAAATGAACTCTCTTCCTGGTTTCAAAGCTTAGTACTCATAAAAATAAACACTAGCTCACTTTCTGAGTGGAATGCCTCAAGGCTATGCGTATTTATACTTAACTGAACTGCCTTGCTTCTTATTCACTGGGGGCCTCCCTGGTATTATTTGTTCCTGACACTGAAAAATGTGAAAGCGGTAGCGTGTAATGAAAAATAGCATGGTACGTGCCTATACACAGCTACACACCTGCAAGGCGTTCTGTATACATACCTTTGTTCTTTTCACTGTTGAAAAAAAAATGACGTTTGACACATATTGTAGCTGCACAAGATCAGACACAGTCTCAATGCAGCAACCCTCTCTAGGGGCCCTTCCATACAGCCCTATATCCCAGAATATCAAGGAGGAAAATCCCACAGTATCTGCTGTGAACTGGGTTATCTGAGTCCACACTGCCATACATTACAGTTCAAATCAGATAATGTGGGATTTTCTGCCTTGATATTCTGGGATATTGGGTTGTCTAGAAGGGCCCTGGCAGTCCCTAAGCAAAATTGTACATTAGTCCTCCCATCCTGCAGTAAAGTCCTTAATCCATGAACTGAGAAATTAATAAGAACAGTGTATTAGCTAATTAGTTTATATACTCATGTGTAACTTTAGAAATTTTAAAATTTCTAAATTTTAAAAATCAACCTAAGGCTTTATCAAAATGTACCACATTATGATTATCCAAGCTTGGTATATGGGTTACCCAATGGACAGGTCACTAGCTTGTGAAGCACACACTGCCCAAGATATTTATTATAAGAAAGTCTAAACCACCAATGCATAAATTGAGGTTTCTTTTCTTCCTTGCTTCTTCTTTTTTTTGTTTGCCTTCAGTTTTAGGGACAAATAAGATGTTTGTGCTCACAGAGCAGCATATGATTGTACCACTGAGCTATAGCCACAATAGACTGTAATAAAATTTTTCAAAATACCTTCAAAAATACAAGTTGATAGTGACAGGTAAAAAACAAGGATATCTGAGTCTTAATTAACACAGCCACATTCTAGAAATTGCCTACTTAAACTAGGAAAAATGAAATAACCAAGATTTCTGGACTGTTGTTAAATGCTAGATTAAGACTAGAGAAAATTAGACATGACCTTAAAAAGATGTATAGGAGAATATCATGCAGATTGGAATCCCCAAACAAAGAAATGTAAGCAAAGTAAGTGCACGAATCACATTGAATTTAAGGATTACTGATACCATTTTACATTAGAATGCAATGTTTCCTGAAATTTTGAAGATATGGAAGGGAAAGGCTTTTTATTTTTATTTTAAGTTGAAAATATGCAATATTTGCACCTCTGAATGTTACGTTGTTCATTTAGGAATTTAAAATCCTTTATGAGTTACCATAAAATGATTGTGTCTTTATTAAAAGCAAAGTTCATTCAGAGTATAATAGCAAATTGATCTTACTTATTTAAAAGTTTATTTGTTGTTCATTCTAAATTGAGATATAATATCTTGAACTGTAAGGAACATGTAAACAAGAAAGAATCTTTTTGATTTTTCTAGTTTGAGAAACAAGCAAAACCCGCCCCCCCACCCCCAAAAAACAATAAAAATAGAGGAAATTAACAACATTAGTAAAGAGAAAATATATTTTGTCTCCAAAATGTCAATCAGAGATAACATACATGTTCCCACAAAAAGAACTGGGAAAATAAAATCTAACTGGGAAAATAAAATAGGAAAACCTGGTATGATGCAAGAAGATATCACATAAAATCTATGGGGAAAAGAATTTGATGATAACGTACTTACCATAGGAAACAAAACATATTCCCGGAGGAAATCGTGAGATTTAAATTGACCGTAGTCCCCAAAATCAGCTGGATGGTGAGTAAGGAAAAGACAAGATAAAATACATGAACTCGCCTTACACAAATAATTTTATTGTGCATCAAATTTGCATAGTGAAGATCATTGTGGAAGCAACATCTCAAATCTTAAACCTTAAAAAATCCCAAAGTATTTGTCCAACTGGAGAGGAGACTTTGGAACAAAGGGAATGGAGGATGTAGTTGCTCTGAAATTTTGCAATAGTCAATGACTCGCAAATATAATTATGTCCTAGGGTACAGTTCTTACTGAAGTAGAAGGAGGGAGATGAAGATTATTTATATATGTATGTCTCAGGCACCTTCTCTTCTCTTCTCCACTACCAGATTATTATAAAATCCAGATTATGTGCTTTGAATTGGATTATATGGCAGTGTAGAAGGGGCTTCTGATACGGTAAGGAGCTGGACCTCTTTTCCTCTCATAAGTCAGAAAATGCCAGGAGACATGCCCATATCAATTGATATCATCCTGTCCCCAGTCAGAGACACATTTGAGTTTGTCCACTTCATGGTTTGGAAGATCACATTGCTCCTATGCCTTCATTAAATGGGTAAAGCGGGTGACCAATGAAGTGACGACTGACAATGGCCTGCTTCATTTCTCCTCTTCCTTTTCTGCACGGAAGTGGGACAATGCCAGGAAAGGACTCCCCAGTACAGTCTGACCTGCATACCTGCAAGGCTGCAGTTTCATCTATCTGCATCCAACAAAATAAATCCTTTCTAGGAATTTCCTAAGTCGTCAACCAATGGTATGCTTCCACCCAAAATTACTGTAAAGTCGGAGGACCTAGCAAATTCTCTCTAGGAATATTCTAGGTCTTCCGGGATGACTCTATTAGTAACATCTATAAGTTCAGGAATGTATCCCTCCCCCCCCCCCCCCCCCAATGGACTATATCTCTGCACCTCTGATCAGTGATGGGGCTGGGTGGGATACCTCCACAATTGGGCTGGTAGAGTCCAGACTCCCTCTCCTCTGCCCCACTCCAACCTATCCATTTTCCTTCCTGCTCATACATCTGCTTCTCCCCTTACTCCCCCATGATTCATATTAGGCCTGCAAAATTTCTCACTCACCAAAGTAATCACAGCACATCAGGAGCATGATAACATTTTAATTTGTGCTGTCATGCCTTGGAGATTGGCAAGCTGCTCACAGGCCACAATATATGAATGGTGGGCTATGCTCAGTTAGTTACAGTCTCTGTGGGCCACTTAACTACCCAACTTGGGAAAGTCATTTTTTTGAACTGCAGCTCCCTGAATCTCACTCAATGGAAGAATTCTGTGAGCTGCAATATAAGAAGTAATTTCCAAGCTCTAGTTCACTGGTATGAGAGCCCAATCCATCCACCCTGAAAACCGAACTTTCTATTGAAAGTTTAGAAACTCAGTTTCGTTAAACTACAGCACTTTCTTCTCTAAAGAAACAAAGGCCCTCACCTGTGGATGGGTTGAATAAATAACAGACAAGATTCCCAGATATTTTATTAACTGGAGGGGGAGCATAATTTCCTCTAGGAAATTATAGAGACTGTTGCTAATTTCTTCCTAAAATGAATCTATTCTTTTAAGTGGCCAGAGGGTGTTCTCCTTTGAGTGCTTTCAGTTCAAATGCCTCTGCCATCTGAAGTTAACAATATGCAATATGGGAACTCTGCTTGTAGTGTGCTCTCTAACAGGTTGTCTACCTTGGATAAAATACATACCCACTTAAAATCTGGTGCTGTGGCAACACAGGATGCATAACTATTTTGGAAGTGAATCTGCATTTTAGAGACTATGATGAGGGAGTAGCCTGACCTGTGGCTGGGGAGCAGGTGGCAGCCCCAAAGAGGGGAGAAGGAGGAAAAAGTAGTCCCAACTTGCATTTGGCAAAAGAAATATGCTGCCATCAACACAATGTCATTGTGGTGTATTAGAAGAAAGTAGCTGTTTGAGGGGTCTGGGAGTGCTCTGCAGCAAAACACTCTGAATTGCACCAGATTTATTTTACTGGTGGAAACATCCCCTGGTAGGAGGGGAAAATATTTTGTAATGTCTAGAACAAGTTTTTTTTTTCATTAATGGCTCAAAGGCTGTGCAATTGATTTATTCCTGAAGTCTATCATTGACAACACATCAATTGCATCAATTAAATGAAAAGTCGCACAGAATAATAGAATAATAGTAAGTATAAATAAGAATAATAGAATAATAAGAGTTGGAAGAGACCACATGGGTCATCTAGTCCAACTTCCTGCTATGCAAGAAAAGCACAATCAAAATATGCACAGAAATGTTTCAATTTTCACAATGTTTTTGAATAAGACCATGAAGTCAGAAGTATTTCCTGAAGTCTGTAACAATATTTGTCAAAGACTCGCCTATGTTTCAGCTGCATTGCTTGAAAGAAGAAGAAAAAAGAATGCCCAAGAGCCTTTATTCCACAAAATAACACCAAACACTTCTGACAAGATTCTCAAGATGCTGGAAATTCCCCTCATAAATTATCCCACTCAAATAGTCTTGCAAACCTTTCAGAACCATTTCATGTTATTACTGGGTGCCAAAAATGTTGTTTCATTTTATGTCACATCGCTAATGTATGTTTATCACGAAACCAGGGAACATGGACAAATAAAAAGTCATTGCATATGCTTTTGAGAAAAAAAATCCACATATCAAGGTTTTTTTTTAAAAAAAAAAAGTTTACTAGGGAATATAAACAAATCAAAAATATGTTCTTTGTCTTTCTTTCTCTGTATAGACACCCACACAGAGATAGTTAATATTCTGTACACTGAGATTAACAGAGCTCAGTTTGAATAGTATGCAAGAATCCAAGAATCTGAGAGATCCATGTCCATGCCACTCCTATTTCCAAATGATACAATATCAAATTTTCAAATAACCTAAATCAATGATTCTCATCTAAATTATTAAGAATCATGTCAGTTTTATGGGGGTTGTCATCTCTAATTGGAATGTATTCTTGTATTGCTTAAATAAACAGATAAGAGAAGAAAGTGTTAGCAGGTGTGCTCACAAACCTTGAACTGCTAGTGCAGCCAACCTTATCCCTTGCTCAAATGAAGATCGCAATCGTCCATCAAGAACATCCTTTTTCACCTGCAGGTAATACTGATACCTGTAAACAAGAGATGCCGCAAAATGAAACTGAGAGCACCTATAGTGGACTCTTCTCTACCCCACTCCGGTAAAAGTACATGATTGCTGAGAGATTAAACTTATATACAGACACACATGGGACCTTATCACATTAGGGAATATTCTGTTTCTGAGACTGTTTGAGAATGATTTCAAACGGGTCCCATCACATGACATTTGCCCCATCACATCAGTATTCTGTTGGAATCTGTCTGCAAAGTGTTACAGATATTGATCATTTGCAGATGAAAATCTAATCATGTTTTTTTGAAATACTACAGATTCTTCCATTGCTGAAGTACTGCTTTTGTGCGTGATAGGAAAATCTGTGCAGCAGCAATACTTTTAAAAAGGTCATAGAGTGATGTAGGAGGTGTTTTGAATCTGTGGTGTGATGAGTCAAAGTACAGTGTTTTCAAATCATAAGAATCGCAATAATTTTCCTTCCATGCCACAAGCCGTGTTCCTTGATTTCTTATACACAATTATTTAGAACAAGAATACTAAAGACTTTATCACTTTGAGATATAATCCGTTTATATCAGTATGCATCCAGTATTTTCTTAGGACTGGATGCATACTGTGTTGAGATGGGATGCATACTCTCCTCATCACACTTGATTCTCAATCTGTGATTTGTAGTGTTCTGGTGGCATATCTATGTGAAGTAATGTAGGGATAAAATACACCCTTTGTAATTGATCCCCTTGCCCCAAAGAGGTGATGTAGACTGATATCGATCCACATATATGACCTAGATCTAGCATTTTACATCTTTTCAAGAGCAGGTCTCTTATAAAGGCAATGAGTCTTCATTGTCAATTCAAGACCAAACCATCCCACTGCATAATGCTTTGCATAGTAACAAAGATAGCTCATAGAAATACACGGTTGCTGAGAAAATATTCACACACACATAAAATGCATACTGTATCATGATGATGAATTTCACTGAGAAAAGTAAAGTTGGGGTGGGAAAGCAGATGTTGTAATTTTCCTGATAATGGCAAAGTCCTGATGCTTTTACCCTACCAACCTTATGTACATTTAGGTTTCAAATATCAATTATGGTGTTATTTATGAACTCTGTAATATAAGCAGTCACCAAGTTACAAACATCTGACTCACAAATGACTCATTGTAAAGAATGGGGTGAGACAACAGAATGTGATATATATATATATACCCCAGGAAGGGAAATTCACTCCTGGAAGAGTTATCATGGGGAAAAGGTGTCTCTACCAAAGTTTTATCAGCAATCCTTGTTTCTACAACAAGCTACATTTTTCAAAATCCAATTATCACAGGAACAGAAAGTGAGGTGAAATATTCTGACAAGGGGTACAGACAGCAAAGCAAATGCCACAGGGGTGTTAGCCCTTCCCTATGCTATGCAAAGTTTTATATGTAGCCCCACTAAAATCAATGGGTGTTACTCTGAAGAAAGGGTGTGTAGGACTATGCTGTCAATCAATTGCACAGATTATACATATTTTAAAACAATTGTTTTAAAAAGGCTGATGTACAAAAAATATTTCATAACTTTCTAAGATTTTATACTAAATTATATTATTAATCACATCTAGAGAGGTTCTGTTGAATCAATGTGAACAACATGGGGATCACAATCAGACACAGTGAAGACATCTGCCCTTGTGCTTCGCTACTCTGCTGCTGAATACGCATGCCCAGTGTGGAATACATTTCACCACGTTAAATCAGTGGATGTGGCTCTTAATGAGACATGCCACATCTTCACAGGATGTCTATGCCCTACACCACTGCCCTTCTGTCAGGAAGTAGCAGCCAATAATGAAAGGACCAAGTCATTGACATCTCCAGCTCATCCCCTGTTTGGCTATCAGCCAGCATGGCAATGCCTTAAATCAAGAAACAGCTTCCTAAGATTGACAGAGATGCTGGAAAAACACCTCAGCAAGCAAGAATCCAAAAGTGGCAGGCCTAAACCTGAAGCCTCAATCAGTGACTGAGGTCGGATGAGAAACTCCCTCCTGGACACACAGAAGACTGGACAACTTGGAATGCACTGAACAGGCTGCGCTCTGGCACTGTGAGATGCAGAGCTAACCTTAAGAAATGGGGCTACAAAGCGGAGTGCACAACATGCAAATACGGAGAAGAGCAAACCACAGACCACCTACTACAATGCAGTCTGAGCCCTGCCACATGCACAATGGAGGACCTTCTCACAGCAACACCAGAGGCACGCCAAGTGGCCAGCTTCTAGTCAAAGGAAATTTAGCATAATGCCAAGTGTTTAACTTTGCTTGTGTTTTAAACACATTTTACCTGTACCCTAGATTCACTTCTGACATGATAAATAAATAATGTGAACTTGGCAAATAGGCACGTCTGTTCTACTGATTCAGCTTATCTACACTAGTTGGGGCTAACCATAGGATCCAGATTTTAAAAATTACCTTAGTAAAAATTATGTTAGTTATATATACACACATTTTGAAATTATACTTATAAAGTAACAATTTCCTTAATTTATTGATGGTACTCCAGATTGAGCAATAGAAATCTAACCTATGTTTGGTGATTCACTCTTCCCAGATATTAACACCATAATTTTATTTATTCTCATCCAAAAGTAAGTTCCCCTGAGCTCAGATATATGACTGGCTCAGAAGTTATTCTGAAATGTAAGCAATTTTCCCTGATTTTACCCCCCCCCCCCAATATATCAAAATCCAACAAGCTCTTTGAGACAAACACCAAATAAAACCATATGCTCAATCTTCCGTGAAGACCTATTGCAATTATTTATGGAACTTTTGAAACTATTTATATTTTAATGACTTCTGTATTGTTGCTGCACTATGGAAACCATGAATCTAAATTTCAGAAGGTTAAAAGAGCTTTGTTTCCATTCCTTTCTTAGAGGACAAAAACCCACGTCATCTTTTGGATTTAACAAAGGTGACTGCCATGGAAAGAAAAAAAGATACAGAAGCCTGCCGCTAGACAGCACCAACGTTCCGACCAAATCTTAATTCTCCCGTCTGTAGCAAAGCCGTGGCACTATAATTAACAAACCACTTTAAATGATTACAGTATATAATACAGCAAGAGCAGCACTGTGTGCTTCAAAAGGCTGAAAGGTTTGCCTAGATCATAAATTTTGAAGGCAGGATGTCCATCACAAGAAAATATAAATCCAGGAATCTATGGACACAAGACTTGCTAGCATGAGAGGAAGTTCCAAAGTTCCAAAGAATTGGCCCAATGTTACCTAAGTTCCAGCTCTATCTAGGAATTTGCACAAACCAAGAGCCCTCTGAACTCAGTGCTTTTATCGTTCTGTATGGTACTGTTTTTATGGTGTTATGTTTTATTGTGATAATTTTTTTAAAATTTGTTTTGATGCTATCTTATTGTGTTATGTTTTTAAACTTTGTGCTCCCTGGGCCTGTCCCTTTGTAAGCCGCCCCGTCTCTTAGGGGAGGTGGAGGCGGGGTATAAAAATAAATTATTATTATTATTATTATTATTATTATTATTATTATTATTTTCATAGATGCACAGAGTATTACCATAGCCGACAGACTAGAATCATTACATCTTCTCTTCCTGTGAATACCATGTTATCTCAAGAAGTTGCAGGGAAATGGTTGAACTTTTTAAATTGTGTAATGCTATTTCTATTCCTGAGCTTTTTAAGTGACTTTTTTTTTGGGGTGGGGGCTCTCATAATACAGTAAGCCCTCCACTTTGGTGTGGATTATGGAACAAGATCCCCACAAAAGTGGGTAGCTGCAAATGAAAAAAAATCATTTTTTTTAATCTGACAGAACACTGTCTCTAGGTAATCCAGGGAAAGTCTATGGTCAACAGAAACAGAAGTTGACAGTGGAGTAAGCTGGGAGACCTAGAGATTCCCAGAGAGAATATTCCCAGAGAGGTGCAGGTTCGCAGCTTGGGTGTGATCCTGGATTCATCGTTGAGCCTGGATCCCCAGGTTTCAGCGGTGACCAGGGGAGCATTTGCACAGCTCAGGCTCGTGCGCCAGCTGCGCCCGTACCTCGGGAAGTCTGACTTGGCCACGGTGGTACACGCTCTGGTCACATCCCGCCTTGACTACTGCAACGCTCTCTACGTGGGGCTGCCCTTGAAGACGGCCCGGAAGCTTCAGCTAGTCCAGCGCGGCAGCCATGTTACTAACAGGAGCGGGACGCAGGGAGCACACAACGCCCTTGTTGTTCCAGCTCCACTGGCTGCCGATCTGCTACCGGGCCCAATTTAAGGTGCTGGTGTTATCCTACAAAGCCCTAAACGGTTCTGGCCCAAAATACCATCTCGGCCTATGAGCCCACGAGGGCCTTGAGATCGTCTGGGGAGGCCCTTCTCTCGATCCCGCCTGCTTCACAGGCACGTCTGGCGGGGACGAGAGAGAGGGCCTTCTCGGTGGTGGCCCCCCCGGCTGTGGAACACCCTCCCTGTTGACATCAGACAGGCGCCCTCCCTTATGTCTTTCCGTAAAAGCCTAAAGACATGGCTGTTTGAGAAGGCATTTAATTAAGTGCTATAATAATGTGGTAAAGACGACTGGAATGGAATAAGGAATATGAGATTGGTTACAATTCTACTATGAGACGGAGCGGATTTTTTAGTGTAATTATATAATTGTTGTATTGTGGATATGTTGTTTGTAATTGCCTTTTGTAAATTGCCTTTTATATGTTGTACACCGCCATGAGTCGCCCTAAAAGGGCTGAGAATGGCGGTCAACAAATGCACCAAATAAATAAATAAATAAATAAATAAATATTAATTAAATCTCCAAATAATCATATCCATGATAGTTTAAACCACAAGTGTATTCATACTTGAGTTGCTGGGTATTCATTGTTATTCAGACAAACATGGGAAGATTCCTGGAATCCTTACTATTAGAGTAGTGGCTTCCTGAAAAGCTGTGTATAATATTTGTGCTAAGAATAGATTATTAAAACT